GTACATACTGTCTACTAACAAATAATTTTATAAAAATAGTTTTAGAACTTTTGGTTTAGCTATCGTAGAAGATCTTCTAAGTACACTTGACTTGACCAAAACTCTTGAGAAACCTTCAGGTTTTGAGTTTTTACAAAACAAAAGCTGTTTTAAATACCTACAGGTGAACTGTGTCGGATGAGCTTGTTTAAAAAATTAAATGATAACGGTGACGATTTTTAATTTTAATATCTTCGAAAGCCCCCTGTGCTCAAAAACTCGATCCTCAAGAAGTCCACTGTCAAGTCAGAATCAACCAAATCCAATACCACCATCAGATAGGGCAAGGTTGAAAACCCTTAAGATCCAGAGGATATGTTGCTTTGTCCATTACTTAGATAGTATATATTGGAAAGATGCTGATTAACAGAACGAAATAAGGTCATTTTCACCGAAAGAAAAATTTTTTTACCTCGAAAGAAAAAGAAGAAATGTGCAAATAATATTCTTATGTAGGTACTTTAACAGAGGACATGAAAGTATTTATTCAAGTGTATATCGCATGTTTTTCCTCTAGCTCACTTTTAACATTGATTGTCACGAAAAGTCATTTAAATTTGTTTATTTTATTATTTATTATGATAGAATAGAAATATTTTTTTTGATTTGTTATTCTACCTAACCGACAGTGTACAAATGCAACAATAATTTGGTTGTTGTTAGGGATTGGAGGGGATAAAAATTTTGCTTCGCAGAAAGTGGCTGGCGAAATAAAGTTTTCGAAATTTTTTGCAGAAAGTTGCTGGTGAAAAACCGTAAGAGATTTTACCAGAAAGTCCAAAAAATTTTTTAGGGTAGTCCAGCCCCCCTTTGATCGGGAACCCTGATACCAGCGTCACAGGGCTCGAGAAGTTGAAGAAAATTGACTTTGAACTTAGAAAGTTTTCATGTATTCATTAATAGTTTGTTGTCCAACCCCATTTGTTCTTCAGATGAAAAATAATTCTCTCTCTTCAAATGTCATTTTCACTTCATTTTTCTTAAATCTACCTTTTAAACCAACTGAAATCATAATGAAGGTGGTGTGGTGAACCCTCTATTGACTGTGGATCTTCCGGCAGATTCAGACTGGATACAGTCTGCCGACATCGCAACTTGTGCGCAGCGCAATTACAAACTAGTTGTTTACGTTGTTTTGTGTCTAATTCAGTCTGTGCAATTAAGCTCAAATCTGAGAAAATGGTACTGTGTATGTATACTAGGGATTTACCATACTTCGGTAAATGGTAAATGATTCGTTTAGGCCTCTTTGGGTCTCTTCTATCATACAGTTAGACGATATACAATCAGTGAAATAAGTATCGCTATAATGCAGAGAAAAATTGTTATATCATTAGCTTATGAATGAATAAAAGTAGAGAAAGAGTATTTTACCATTCGATAAGTCCAAGACATCTATCAAAACATGCGTTCTTCAACTTGGATCTGTTCTTGTCCGCTCAATAAATGTTTGTGCGATCACTTTTTCATGTCTGTTTTGATGTTTATCGAAGAGATATACTGTCGTTTATACAGTATTTGACAGGGGGTTTAACTTCCGGTGAATTTTTTTCAGAGATAACATTCATTTTTCTCTCCAGGATCAACACCGCCAGAAAGGAGAAAATTATTGTTTCAAGTTATGATTGAGACAATGATGTCTATTTCATCAACTGCAAACTATATTAAAACAACGAACAGTTCAACTTGTAGAGAATTTTTCCCTCTACAAACCGGTTATAGTGTTCCACCAGGGTTGCCAGAACTGGTGACTCATGGGGGACGGAACAAAGAAATCGTCATGGTGATCCTTTGTTCCGTCCCCCATGAGTCACCAGTTCGGACAACCTGTGTTCCACTGTCGAAGTGAAACACTAAAAATAAGCAGATTAAGTAATCATATTCAAGATGTTGTCACAGAGCAGGTAGAGTCAATCAGCTTAAAAGACATGTGATTGATGCTTTATTTTAACTTGACTACAACCAATATATGCGTTTTTTCAATCGCCATCCAACAGTATATAAAAAGTTAAGTTTTGATGAGTTAAGTAAAAATTGGACTGAGAGATTAAAAACTCATTTTTCACGCATGAACTGCTATTATTTTTGACAATTTGTTTAATCACATAGCCCTGATTTTGTTCCTTGCAGTGGTGTATAAACGACAGCATATCTGTTCGATAAATATCAAAATAGACATAAAATAGTGGTCGTACAAACATTGATCGAGCGATAAAATAGATAAATCATTGATTACCTAGATGAAGTAAATGTAGTACTATTTTCCGAGAAAAGTGAATTTTTGATGATTCATTTATTATTTCTTACATGTAAAGATTGTAAGAAGAATAAATGAATGGAGCAATAATGAAGCAATGAATGAAGCATAAATGAATGGAACATACTGTTAGGGATAATTTAATTGCATGTTTGTATAGTATTGTTTCAGCAAATACTTGCATTATTCGTGTATTTTCTTGAGTTTTGCATCTGTTCAAATGGTTTGTTGTTATCTTTTGCAATAATTAAAAATAGTTCCTTGTTGAAGTTGTTGGTGTACATACGTATCTGAGATCTAAAATGGTACTCTTAGTTCATGTCTCAAATCTTTGTCTTGGATTATTTGTAATTTTTCTCAATAGTTTTGATCTGTACTGAAAAATATTGCTTAAGCCTTATTGTTTTTCACTGACCGGTTGCTAAGCAATCTTCATCAAGTTTATTATTACTATTATTCTTTTACTGTTTGTTCAAAGATAGTCAAAGACCCTCGTTCTGTAATATGAGATCTATGCCAAATGAAAAACCAATAAAAAACGACTATACTCGGGGAACCATTACATGTAGCTCGGCCGAAGGTGATTTCCTAACGTTTTGTGCTATTCTCTCGTCTTTACATCTTTCGGATGAAAAGACACCCGATGCCAGCAATTGTCTCATTTTGCGAAGAAAATTGTGCTTAACAAAATAGCAGATCTCAGCTCTCTAGAATTCGTTGTTATGGAAGTATGTCAACAAAACATAGACATACACTTCTTAAAAAAAGAAGAACTTTTTAAGAGTAGTGTTGAAGATTTTTGCAATATATCCTTAACTAAAAATCCTAGAGAGCTGTAAGATCTATCATTTTGTTAAGCACAATTTCTTCGTAAAATGAAACAATTGCTGGCATCAGGTGTCTTTTCATTCGCAAGATGTAAAGATGAGACAATAGTACAAAACGAAATCATCTTTTCGCCCGAACTACAATGGTCTATGGACAAATAAATGAATAAAAGATGAAACCCCAGATAAAAATCATCTGAACATGATAAACGTTTAGGAAAGAAAAAGTTAGATGCGCGCTTTTTGAAAGATAGTAAAGAACTAAAAATAACGGATTCAGAAAGCTTTCAGCTGCGGACTAGAAAAAACTGTTTGAGAAGAAAAAACATCCATAAGAGAAGAAGTACGAGCATATTTTGATTGATGATAATGGAAAAAAAGAATAGGAAGCACGATAAACGGAATAAAAAATAGAGCGAGGGTTGAAACGATAATAAATTTTAAATGTGTGCATGTTACAAGAAGTAGAAACTAAGCTGTATATCGAATTTGTAATTCCAACTGAATAAGAAAGTTCGAGCATTAGGAATGACGAAATTTTAATCTTATTATTCTAGATGAAAAATTCAATCAAGGAAAGCGTTTCATTAGAGTTGTTAATATGTAAAGAATAGTTATCATTTAGCAAAGCAATTGTCATTGATTAATGGAAATAATGACGGTATATTGACGAGCCACAATAAATTATACTCAGTATCAAAGTTCTATGGATTGGTCAAAAATCACAACAAAAAGAAGAAATAATGTTTGACTATAGCAGTACTCTATCTATCTGTTCAAAGGACAATAAACGACCACTGCTACTAAATGAAAATAATGGACAATTATAAAATTCTATTATAATGTTAGATTTCTTGTTCCCGACCCAAGGCAATGTCTAATGATACAGTAGAAAGTTATTCAGTATAACAAAAGCTAGGCTATTAAATCATATTTTATATGGTCATGAAAAAATGGAGCCAACAATATTAGTCGTTCAGAAAAATTCAACAGTATTTTTTCAGTAATAATCGATACAAGAAATTATGATATGTTATGTAACTATCACCAAAACAATGTCATATGGGACAATCGAATACTAGTCATTTATCAGACGAGTGAGGGTTATCTCAGGATGATGTATTCGTTTTTGCAACACGCATGTTAAACGTTATAGTTGAAACTTGTACAATATGAAAAAGACCAATTTCAGTCGATCAATTTCTATATGTCAAACTTCTTTAATCGATACTGTTGTTGAAGATCGACAAAAAATACGATCTGGTATTATTTTTGTGTTAAGAAATATTTCTCATTAAAAGAATATTATACTTTATTCAACGAGAATTTCATCTCATGTTACTGCTGAAAAATGTGATATATTGATCAGATTATTTAGGCAGATTTAAATTAAAATCAATATCATACCATATGATGTTCGCTTAAATTCATAAACATCAGTTTTCAATTATTATTTATATCAAACATGAGTTTATTTGTAATAGTGAACAAAAAAGAGTTATAGTTCATACAGATATAGAAATTAATCATGATAATTAACAACTATTACCAAATGTCTGTTAAAGTTGAAAAACAATAAATTTTGCCTAGTGAGTTACAAAATCATGATTCAAATTATGTAAGATTTTTATTTGTTATTACCGTAAGTAAAAGTAATTTTGTATGATTTTGAAATAAAATGTGTACCTTTTAGTCTAGCATTTTATTTGAACAAATCTCTTATTGATCTAAATTGGGAACCTAAATATATGTTGTCTAGCAAGAAAGATGACACATGAAGCAATGGGATTTCTGCTTAAGTTTAGTATTTTGTTTTTAATTATTTAAGAAATTATTTGATTTTATTACGGTCCATGCCGTACATTTTTTTACTTTAAATGTCTTACGTCGAAACACTGTACAATCACTCGGCTCCACCACCCGGTTTCACAAATACTTCATCGGCAAAAGAATCACAGTTGATTGACCTATTGAGTGAAGTCATTGGCCAATGCAAAGCGTATCCACATTTTTCAGAATCTCGAGTGAAAGAAACCAACTTATTATTGAAAGTTACACAAATTTGGTTATCGTCAACACCATTATCATTCAGCAATAATTCTACAAATGATTTTGTACAAAATCTATTTAGTGACGTTTTAAAATTAGTACAAGAAATTATATCAAATGATGATTTCAAACAAAAACAACAATTACAACTTTTACAATTATTACCTTCACCTGAGATTGATAATCCATCAATTATATGTTTGAAACCTTCATTGGATGAAGGTTTTCAGAATAAAATTTACAATCAACAATCTCAGTTATGTTCAGCGTTAAGTGAAAGCAACGGTATGTTGATTAAGATTATTTATGTCGTACTTTCATCTTTAAAAAATTAAACTCATGTTTGTTCATATGGCGAAACAAAATAGCAAAACAAATTTACCATTAGTCTTTCAGTAAACGAGTCATCGTTGAGAACACTATCTATTTTCAACTACAATGCTGAGTTTTAGTGTTCACAATTCTTCGCTTAGTACTTTTCTTAAACTTCAGACCGATATCAAGGACGACGACAAGTTGGTCCACCCACGCTGCTCTGCAAAATTCTGATCAAGCCGTTCTTGTTTCTATTTAGGTTTATGTCCATTAGAAGAACAAACGAATCAGGATGTATCAACTGTCATTGATATAATTCATGAACCGATCAATGACAACGTTAATTCATCAATAATCGAGATTATTAATGACGAAGGAAATTTCTCACTTGATGATTTAGCATCTGAATATTTACAAGATAATATTAGTGATTTGTCTGGACAAAATCTTGAATCACATTGTGTCAATACACCGATTATTATTGCTGAAATAATACAGACAAAAGAAACGGAATCAGCAACAATACCAAATCTAAATGACTTAGAAAAACATTATATTGAAACCGATAATAATACAAACATTGAAACAACTCTTCCTTCGCCACAGGCATTCATGTCTACAATTATGAAGAATAACAGTCAACAACAACAAATATCGGCGATGAATAGTAATAATACAATATTTTGCAAAAATAATTCATTTTTCAAAACAATTTTTATTTAAATTAGAGCAAGTTTACAATAAGTTTTTAAAATATTTGAAATAAATATTTAATACACTTTTTATGTCCCTATTTCACAACTTTCGTCTAGGTTTAGCGGTTTCTTGAGAAAAATGAAAGCTATTTATCGTTTAATGTCTCATAATACAGATAAAAGAATAAAACAATTAACATTAAAAGCCTATAATTTGCTACAGCCAAAAACTATATGCTCTTATTTTGGTCAATATGGATTAACACAAAAAACCTAGACGAAAGTTGTGAAATAAGGACATAAAAAGTGTATTAAATATTTATTTCAAATATTTTAAAAACTTATTGTAAACTTGATCTAATTTAAATAAAAATTGTTTTGAAAAATGAATTATTTTTGCAAAATATTGTAATCCATTGACAGAAACAATGCATTTAGATTTAATCGATGAGAAAAAGGTGTCTATTGAAGATATTTTATTTTCCATACGATTAACGTCGAACGAGGCAGCCGATAATTGTGTAATATGGAAGCAACCAAGTAAATTTGGTCAAATTTTATGTGAACCTGAAAAACAATGTGATATAACCATCGTAAACTCAAAACAACACGAAGATATCAATACATTTTTTAATCATGATTTGTATCAGAAATTATCCCATGTAATCCAAGCGTTACCAAAACATTGCATGAGACAATACCAAACGCCAAATAAACCAGTACGAAATAACGATAATCAACGTCGATACAACAATCAACAACATAATCATCAACAGCAACAGCAACAACATAATCATCAACAGCAACAGCAACAACATAATCATCAACAGCAACAGCAACAACATAATCATCAACATCCACAACAACAACGTCAAATGTCGTCTACAAGTAATAATAATAATACTAATAATCAGATGGAACGTCCATGCTTAAATCGTTCTAACGAACAATATCCGAAAAACTATTACCAGCAACAACAACGTTCATCGTATATACCTTCAAACAATCAACCGTATTATCCGCAAAATCAATCAGATCAATATTATGAAGAACATGTGTCTAGCAGTAGTAATAATAGGCGAAATAGAAACAACACAAAACCGTTTCATCAAGCAAATGACAGACCAAACGTATCGGAGTCAACACTCTCACCATCAAAACAACAAAAGACTCAAAAACAATTTAATCAAGAGCTATCTATCCATAAAACTCCCGCTATAAAAAATGCAGTAAGTATATTGATTAAGTTCAAAATATGCTGTTAAAAAACTAGAACCGATCTAGTCTAGTTCTTATTCAGATTTGTGTAAAATTAAGCAGAAGAGTTCCACATTGCAGAAGTCTCTCAAAACATGTCTAGAAATTCTCATACAGGTATCCATATGAAATTTTTTGTTATTCTAGCATGATTCTCAGTCTACAACATATAATAATGCAAATTCGAATAAAAAAAAAGGCCCAGATCCGTCCAGGTACAACAACAGAAGTAAAAAACAAGTACAAACTACGCAGACGGGCAATAGAACTCGTATTTTTGAAAATTCAAATAATCCAGTCGATCAAACAACTCCGATGCTAAAAGTGAATCGTACTCAGGTAATTTGATTTTAGCTGTTTAGATGAATTAATCGGCCATTCAGAGTACTCTCTCATGTGTACGTACAAAATAGGTGAAAAAAATATCGCATTCAAATAAATAAAGAGCAAAAATTTTTTCAATACGTTTTATTTATCTTGTTTTCTTTTCTATCCAGTAGGTACAATGTTCATCATCATAAATTTTGTGTGCTCGCACATGTACTAAGCGTAAATCCAAGATAATAACAAAGAGACACAACTCATGCACGTAAACTGAATACCTTTGGTAAACGAGGTTTAACATTCTCACTTTTTCTATCTGTATTATTTGATATCTTGGTGATACCGATAACATATTTTCCGTGTGTGTTTTTATCTTTAAAAATTTGTAAGAGAAAACTCAGAATATGATCATTTTTTTTGCTTTAAATAATCGTATGAGAGAGTACATGCCATATATTCTGAATTATTTCGACAGTTTTATGGAACGCTTCAAATTCTTTTTCTTTTGGTTCGTGCTTCATGTCTATTTTTTTTCTATTACATGAACACGAATCCTGTGAATGAACATGTAAATTGAGAATCTTGTCGCATGGTTATTTTCGCGCGTATAAAGTACCGTACAAAAATCTAAGACCATTTACTCTGAACTTTTTCAGTTCTTATTCCATTGACTGAAAATATCGAGTCTAGAATCCTAAAAGTGTATATGTATATGTTTGTGTCTGACCTGAGCAAAAAGAATAAATTCTGTGCCTAATGAATTAATTGTTACTTACATATCATTCTAATCGAGAGATTTGAAAAACTTAACCGGTTGAAACAGATTGTAGACTCTCTATAGTCGGCTACCTTGCGCAATAATTTTAGATCGAGATACTGTTACAGAATGTCTTGATGCTGTTTAGTCTTCTTAAAAAATATCTGGCAAAAAAATGGGAAAAACTTTTCAAGAGAAGCTCGAATCGAACTTTGTTACGTGCAAGGTGATCAACCGTGAAGAGTGAGGGGATCAGGGGCCAGTTTCTTAAAAAAACTTCAGCAAAACTTAAGTGAAAAATTCGTCTTAGCTAAGTGTGTTTCTCAAACATTATTTAACTTAACCCTTGACGGTTGTTCACCTTCGATAGCTGCTTCCGGACCCAGTTGGACCTACTAGGAAAGGCATCGAAAGATTCAATGGTTTTGTCTGATTTAGACTTGCCATACATCAATCAAAAGCTATGCTTATGCTCTTTGTGGTCGCGAATATGGCAGCAGTTTTACCGGCACATGAAAAAAAATATAGAGAAGTAATGATAAACAAAAAATTTAAGGTGGATCTGCCTGGATTCTCAAACAGCTGTCAAGGATTAAGTCACCTCTCGATCCCACTCAAGTTTTCACTTAAGCTTTTAAGTAGAAAATTGTTTAAATTTTATAACTTCTTTATTTGAGGTCCGTAACCCACCCAACCTACCATAATTAGATGAACATAACTTTTTCCGGAAATTTGCTGTAAAGCAATCTAAGTTGTCTAAAATACGAATGGTTTTTACTGCATGACCTCTGCCCGAATTAAGCTTTTTTAAGAAACGCGCTTAAGTCTTAAGTGCGACTTAAATTTGGACTTAACTTGAAAACTTAACGTTTTTTTAGAAACACTCCGGATCCACAGTTGGTTTTGACTAATCAAGGTTTTAAAATTTCTCGATTAGATTGATATGTTATACGTAAAGCATAAATGATAATTATGTTTCCCTCCCAGTGCATTCGGATGTAGATTAGATCGGAAAAAGCTTTGAAAAAACTTTGCTTTGTAGCTTCTTGGATAGTCGAAAATCTCATTAGACAGCTACAATCAAAGCTACTGTATCACAAATCCATTGACATGAGCTATGTTTAACAAGTTTTGCTGTCAAATGCAACGATCTTTTGTGGCTTGAATTTTTGATTTTTTTTCTGATAGTTCTCATTTTAACTTCAGAATTATTCATTTAGTTAGAGCTAGCAAATACCAGCTCAGTTCACAACGTTTTTACGTTTTTCAAAAGTCATTAATGAAGTGGATCGAACGAATCTGCATATTAACGCCAACTGGGGGCAGTTTCTTAAAAAAACTTCAAAAAAGTCACTTTTCCTACTTAAGGTTTCACTTAACTTAAGTTGTCATTCGAGAAACACACTTAAGTCAAATCTTAAGTTTGACTTAAATACGACTTATTTTTTCACTTAAGTTTTGACTTACGTCGATGACTTTTTTTTGTTCGATGAAGTTCGATGAAGTTTTTTTAAGAAACTCAGGTTAGTTTCATCAAAAGACTTAAATTAAGAAACTTAAGTTTTCTGATGAAACTAGTTATTTTAATGAAAACTGAAATAAATAGTACTGAGTACAATTTATCCACACCAAATACGAAGAAATTGATCTGTCAATATAGAGCTGCTTTAGTACACTTTTTTCTCAGTTTAATTAAATAATTTAAGACCAAATAGAGCATTTATTATTTCTCGAAAACAATAACACCGGCTCATTTAAGGTAAATTCGAATATATAAATCGAAAGAGGAAGGGTTTCTATCTTTGTAGAACGTACTCTCTTCTACAAAATGAGACATTTCCTATTATTATAAGAACTTTAGTATCGAATAGAGTGGAAAATCACAATATATTTGCTCTTTCTAATAGCCACATAGAAACTGCATTTAGAAAGCACATTTGAAGTTTTCACTTTTTCAAATATAAATTTCGACTGTTCGATTTGGTCTTAAAATTACGCACACTGACATGAGAAAAAAAGTGTACTAAAGCAGCTCTTTCTTCGTATTTGCTGTGGATAAATGACACTCAGTATTATTTATATATTTACTGTATGTATAATATAGTAAACTAATATTACTATTGTATCACATTTTTCAGATTTCATTAAAATAATGATAAATCGAATGCGAAGTCCTCTTGCCTTCTGATCCGCCCGCCATCAGTCTTGTTTTGTTTAGCGTGAAACTTTTCATGCTTGCTTTTTTCAGTTGTTTTTTCTCTTTATTTGTAAATTCGATATTTCTTCTATTAAAATATATGTAACGTGATACGCACATATTCAAGCATATTTTTTTTCTATACTTTAATGAAAATAAAAATAAAATTTTCTTGCTTATACGAATTATACATAAGAAAATTCCTTTGTTATTAGATGTACCGAGGAAGCGAACAGTTATAATTGTCCATTTACAAATGCCTTTTGTTTCAAATTAACTTACAGGTTTGTATTCAAAAGAACGTTAGTAAGGCAAAAAACTTACGAATTTTCCCATTCCGGTAGGCATCGTGAGAGCAATGTCTCAGAAATTCAAATGTATTGTCAATTTTTATTTGTCTTTTTTGTTCAACAACAATAGCGTTACAATGAAATACAAATTAAAAAACAACAACAATGAACAAAGAGAGAGTAAGAGCAGAATTAAACAAAAATAAAACGAAAACCACGTATCATAATGCATAAAAAAAACAACAATAATTTCATAAGCAAAAATGTTCGTTTGACAAATGAAAAAAACGAAAACTGATCTGCATCAAATGCTCTAATTTTTTTTATGGTATGTGTGTGTGTGTGGAAATGGATAGAAAAAAAACATCGCGCCCGTTCACCGGACCCAACAGGCTCATATATTTGGATGTATCAGAAATATACGTTCAGCACTTTATCTTTCACACACACATCATTTATAGTTTATATTTTAAAAAAATAAATGTATAAATAAACGAAAAACAACAAAAAATATATCAAAATGTAATAATGATGTTTTTCTAGGCCAAATGAAAGTACCCCAACGGATAGAAAAAAATTATATCAAAAAATAAGAAAAAAAATTTTTTTTTCGGTTTTTGTTGAAGATTTTTATACAAAAAGAATAAATGAACCGAAGTAAAAAAAAAAAACGATTGCACAAAACCAGCCGAAATGGGTCTGTTTTATTATCAGAAAATATGTTGAATGAAGAGAGATCAACGACTGCTGGATAAATGATATCCGATTTAAACAGTGAACATTGCTCAAACAAAAAAAGAACAACGACAAAAACTAAAGAGCCCATTAAAGAATGTATATGCGGCAAAGAAATGAAAGAAAAAGAAGGAGAAAAAGAAAAACCTACACGTTTATTCGCCAGCAAAATCAAGTAAAAAAACCGAAAGATGTCTTATAGGTAGAAAATAATGATAATAAAAAAGGCTACTACAGCAGATGGTTTTCGTTTGCGTTCCTTTCAATTCAGTTATCATTTCAACTTATACACATTTACTCATGTAGAGTTCTATGTGGCTGAAAGTAAACTAAGACTTGAAATTAAAGAACAAAAAAAAATCATAGGAATATGTCGTTTTTTTATCAAAATACTATACATGTGTGTGGATGTAATATCGCGATAAGTGGAAGAAATATCTAATATAAAAAATCATCATGTTTTTTGCTGGATATGTATGTGTATGCGTTGGATAATCTAATAATAAAAAAGATACAACAACAAAAAAAAAACACATAGGAAAATAAAATAAACAACAACAAAAATGTAATAATAACGTAACTAAATAAAAACCTTATATATAATAAAATCGTGAGAATATATAAAAGAAAACAAATAGACAACACACACACGCACGCACAAGATGCTGAGAGAGAAAGAGAGAGAGAGACAGAGATAGAGATAGAGAGAGACCAACAACACGGGAGGGTGTTCACCTGTCTTGCTAATAAATGAGCACTAAGTGTATGAACAATTACCATCGAAACGGTAATGTACGGGGTCGATCTGCTCCTTCTTTGACTAATGGTTTATGATATTCTCGACCAGATCGCGCATGTATTGAAGCCCAACATGTTTCACAATAATATTGTAAGCACGTTACCTGAATTCATAACAAGATTTTTTTGGTCGGTATAATATTTAAAAATGTGTGTGCACTACGAACAAATTCTAACTCACATTAGCACAAAAAAATGGCGCAAATTTTCCGCCACATCTTGCTCCTTGACATTCATCACACATTTGATCATCTAACACATAAGGTTTGACTTCAACCTAAGAAAACAAAGAATATTATCGTAAACAACGGTATCTGATGAGCAAAGAATGAGACGTTATTTACTCGTTTATCAATATCTCCATGTTGTAATTGAACAAATCTTGCTGAGATAGCTGCTATATAACTTTGTTGATTTGAAAATGCCACGCGCCCTGCTCCTTTTGGATATTTTAATTCTGGATCAGTATCAATGCCAGCATAACATACACCACCATACAATCTGTCCATAATCATTGCAAGTTCAACTGAAAGTATTTTATTAAGTTTGTAAAACTTAGAAATTTCATCTTTTAGAGTTTTCACCTGCTCTTAATGGTCTCGGTACACCACCAACAAATATTGTTTTTCTTGGATCAAGTGGTTGTGAGCCATCCATAACAAAATCTGAATCGGCCAATAACCATGGACGAATCTGTACAGCTTTATCTTTCATACTTGGACTCGATACGCACATATAAAGTTTACCGTCGTCCATAACACATTCATCAATTAGTTCTTGAACAGAACGCTCACAGGTAAATATCAAAAAGGCATAACCTAAAACACAATGAAGTTCATTTATAGTAAACAAACAAACTTGAAAACTGAAATGTACAAACCTTTTGGTGGAAAATACGATTTGCTTTCTTGTTTATGTGGCCAATCAACCATCAACGGTCCAAAACGTTGAAAATGAGCAATGATTTCTTCTACAAAGCAACAAAAAAAGAACCGTTTGAGTGGAAAAAGTATGTATCTGTTAACTAAAACAAACCTTCATCAATATCGGGAGGCAAACCGCCAACAAATACTTTTCGAGAAAATCGTTCTTCTTTATTCATGTCGACAATATTTCTTGGTGAACCAAACAAACCGGATGCAGGAGCTCCACCACCACCTCCAACTGAGATTAAGCTTTCGGTATCCAGTATGCTTCCCATGCCGCTGTCATCACTGTACACACGTTTTACTAAAATCGTATATATTAATGATTAGAGTGTATCAAACGCAATGAAAAACTATTACGCAGATTCTACATTTCAAAACGAAATAGTTGAGCAATCTCCTTAAAATACAACAGAAAATTTGGTAGTATTTTTTTAACGATTCGAGATGCAATCTATGACGTTTTTTGGAACGTAAAATTTGATCTATCTTAAAATTGTCATGTCTAATTTTATACGGATTAACCTAGAACTTGTTTATATTGACAGTGGAAAACAAATAGGCAAAGACTAAGATGGCTCTCTCTCTAACCGTATGATTTACATTTAAATTCATTGTTACCATCAGTATTAACATTACGCATCATGTCCATTAATTGATGAAAGGAGCTCATGTCATATGCACCACCAGACTACAAAGAAAAAGATACGTGAATTGATTCGATATGTTTTCCATCAAATTGCAAGAATAAATACGTAAACAAAGCGAAATTTCTGCTCTAGCAGTTCAAGAGATGCCTCGGGAGAAATATACTGGAATGAGAACTTACATTCATTGAAGGGAATGCTGAATTATTATCCTCAGAATTCATCGTACTGCCACCATTCATGAGATGTTGCTCATTTAAATCAAGTAAATTATTGTTATTTGTATTATTTGATTGATAACGTAAATTGCTATTCGTTTGTGAATTATAATTATGTGGAATCATTGGCCTTCGAATTGATGACTGCTGCTGTGGCTGTTGTTGCGAATTATATTTGTTTTGCATGGATGGTAAAAATGGTAAAAAATTATTTTGTGAAGGTTGAGTGGATTTTTTTTGTTGTAAATTATTAATATTTTGTGCATTTGGCATTCCTCCGTTAATATTATTAACATTACCACTCATCATTGCTGACGAATTAATGGGGTTCGTTAAAGATGGTACAGGACGCCGAGAAGACGTAGCTGGAAATCCATGCATTGTATTTGTTCCATTATTCGCACTACCCCAGGTATTGTTAGCTCCATTTGTCATTGTCTGCTGCATATGCGGTGGAAGAGGCATTGATGTTGGTTGTGCACCTTGCCAATGTTGCTGGATATTATTATTCATGATAGAAGTAACTGGTTGATTATTCCACATTTGAGATTGTTGTTGATTTTTGGTCATGGGCCTAGGATTGACTGTAGCAGCTGGAAAATTGTGACTGGCTGTAATAGCACGTCTTTGTAAAGCAGCTTGTGCTGCTTGTTGTTGCTAAAAGAATAAATGAAACCAAATATGAAATAATATTTAAAAACCACAAATTCAAATTGTTTAGACATGATTACAGTCGATCGTTATCCCTGATCATCGCAAATGAATCTGCCGAAGAATTTTACTTCTTCTATACTAAAAAAACAGAGCAGTATTGATCGCACAAGATGGAAAGACTTTTTATTAATTCCACCTTAAATATGATGAAAGTTATCTTTTATTTCTCTTCGACATCCAACGTTTACATGTCCTTTTATATTACTTATATCTCTCTACTTTTTATTCTCTACTCTCAATTAAACATACCTGTTGGAATGTCATTTGCCCATTTGTTCCATTATGAATATTCATTAATGATGGTGGAGGTGACGTTTGAGTTGGTGGTATTTGTTGTAATGCAGACGATGGTGAAAATATACGTCCGTTAGTATTATTGTTATTTAGTGTATGTGCCAATGGTACAAGTGCATCTAATGTATGACCAATATTGTTTCCTTCATTTAAATTTACTGATAATAAACTATTATTGCTTCTGTTATTTAATGCTTCGTTGTTCCATGTTGATGACGAAAATTCAGACATACCGTTGTGATGTAATAATGACGATGTCGAGTGTGAGAAATTATTATGATTATTATTTGTTGTTGTTTGTATCATAAAATCATGATCTCCTCTTCCACCACTACTTGATCCTCCACCGCCTGTTCCATTTACGGCCGATAAAGATTGAATTTGCTGTTGATCGTTTGTATTTGATAATGTAGGTGAGGATGATGAAGGTGTTACTGTTTGAGACTTTTCGTTACTCATTGAACGGGAATACTAATTCGATAAAAATGACCTAGAAAAAAGGAAATGAACAGCCATTATTACAAAAAGTTTATCGACCGAATTTTAGAAGCCTTATGCCAGTTCTGAATAAGTGTTTAAGAAGTCTAGATAGTGCATGTTTTTTTCATCTTTAGAGCCAGCCCTGACGCTCGTTCTGATATCTTTAATCGCGAAATGTCCTTGGAAAATTTCATCTTTATTTTGCTGTAAAAAATGATTATCCGCTTTTCAGCTAAGATAATATAATCAAGAAAACGATAGTTATTTTTTCTAGGCGAAAGTTCTACCAGTCCTTGCTCTTCTTACTATGACAAAAATTACGCCAATCTTCGATAGTTGACAACGGTTTGTTTTTAACATTATACGTCACACAGTGATTTTATACATTTTTATTGTTTTCTATTTCTTTTCAGTGCTTTTTGACTGACTAGACGGTTGTAGTAGAAACAATATTTCTCATAATAAAACACATGCTATTTTTAAAAGCTTTTACATTTTCCAAAAATATGGAAATTAAGTTTCAAATTTATTCTTTCCATAGCCGACTGATGCACGATCTATTTTGTAAAGTTGAAATAACTAATTATTTGACATTTAGATGAACAAAGGTTAATAATATATGATATTTGGAATACTAGAATACAGGACAAACAAAAAGGGATTCAAAAACGGGCTGCACATAACTAACTCTACGAGAATGAACTGATGTATTTTCCACAAATACAATTGAGTCAACAAAAAGATACAAGTTTTAACCTATTATGATATCAATATCAATATAAATAAACAGAAACGAAAAATTTTCTGTTTCTCTGCTTCTGTTTCACTTCATTCCTGACAATAATTATTTATCTGTCAGAAACAATTTATAAAGGATTTTTGACGAAAAGAATAGACAAGTGCTGTAAAAAAGAATCAAATAACAACTTCTGAATAGAGTGATGAAGATGATTTTTTTTTCAAGATGAATGATATCAAGAAACGAATACTAGATTCTATTAATATCATATAATACTATTATCGCTAGCAAGTATCATGAAGCTTGAGCGAAAGAAGAAAAGAGAAAAGTAAATCAAAAGATCGCGTAGACTATATACATATGGAACTACTCTTTTTGAATCTTGCTTCGCATGCTTTATCAGACTATTGCGTTTTTTAAGTTCAAAATTATTTTTTTTCTGAGAAACTTACATCTACCAAAAGAAGAAGAAATGACTATCCGATTTATTCTATCCTCTACGGTCTAATATTAAATATCCAACACATTTATTTCTTTTAGAAACTATATCGTGTAAAACCGTTACTTATGTCAGATCTAGGCCACACTTATGAAAAGTTAGATGACATTCTTCTTCAATCATTCATTTTATTGTATACTCAATGAACGAAGATATTTATAACTAAATTACATGTATGATTCATGAAAAATTTCTTTTTTTTAATATTGCAGCTATTATGCTAGAAAGCGTTAATGATATAGTGCGCTTTTGATCTACTAAATAAACTTTTGTTTGATTATAGATAATAATGATCATTAATACAGAAATAATATTTCTCTCTTCTCTGTTTATTTTATCCTAAATTCATGCAGTATTTGTTTCGATTTTTTAATACGATTTAGATGAAGCAAAAAGAAAAGTACGACTAATATAAATATGAGTGTATGTGTGTGTGTATGTATGAAAAAAAGAAAACAAGATAATTGTTGAACTTTTTTTCTTTTTTTTGTTTTCGTTTGTATGCCCGTTTATCCACCAGACACATCGAAAAAGAGAGGACAAAAAAACTTTGATATGTAATAGCAGAAAAAGTTTGAAAAAGTTTTTGAACAAGAAAAAAACAAACAGTTTGACAGAAAGTACAGACGAAGAGTAGCAGAAAGTAAATCAGTTCCGGTGATTACTGTCGTGTGCCAGAATAATACGATAATTTCAATCCACCATTTGAATGATTGATAATCTACTAAACATATATATAAATCAATCAAGAATTCTATTTGAACTTTTAACCAAAAAATACAGAGTATGTAGCAAATGTATGCCTTTTTTTCTCTTTCTAGAATTAGCCTCAAAAAGTTCAATAGACGAACGAAACAAGATAAATAAAGAATGTAGCTGGATATTTGATGTTCATCATCCATATATACACGTTCTTTTCTTATTTATCATGTAAATCTTACAACAAAGTGATCAATCATACAACATACAAATGTTTACATATAAGATTGAACATAAAAAAAACATTGTTTTATTAGTTCGTCTTTCATTAAAACGAACTGTAAATAAAGTGTGACAGATTTCACCGAGACGAAAGTAAAATAATAAAAATATGTTACATTAAATCAAAAAGAGAGGAACAATTCAACCAAAAAAATAGTTTACTGTATTCAACAAAACTATTTTTAGTATAAAAATTCTCTTATTTCAAAAATATGTTATTGAATGACTGCACTATTTTATTTTTTAGTCACGGTTCTATTCTAATCATCCATTTATTCTAACTCTGTTAAACATAGATTCTCGAGAAACTAGAGTATACTGGCCATGGTAAAGTAATCAATTATTTAGAGCTACACAGTGTAGTCTTCCAACTAGAAAATCATCTTACCTTCTTACTCGACATGATGACAAAGAAAAAAAAAAAAAAAAAGTAAAGAATATAAAATTAGTACGATAAAGTTTTTCTTTTTTTTGTGATGAGCGAAAATATGCAAAAAAAAAAAAAGCACATATAACATCAAAATGCATTGCTTTGTTCAGTAAAAAAAACCTAAAACAGGAAAAAAAGACAAAAAAAACTCGAATACACGTTCGATTTATAAACAATATTAGTACTTATACTTGAAAATAAAAAATACAAAAGAAGAATCCAACGAGCTCGAAATGAGAGTAGTTTTCTTTTATGATTAGATTTTCTTTCGTGTTATTGTTCAATACGAGATGGCAACAACAAAAAAGAAAAAAATGTGTTATTCCTATGAGTTTTTCTTCTATCTTTTTATTTTACTCTTTCCTCCATTCATATAAAAACGAATGACAAAGAAAAACTACTTAGAGCAAACGATGATATTGATTATTAACAGACAGACTAGAGCGGTATTTAGTTAAATGACTAATACAAAGTACAACCTAGTAAATAGAAATTTTAAGAAAATCTTCTAAAAGAGATTCTAAATGAGATTTTGAGCATGTTCAAACTATTATCTAAGATAGTTGACGTTTTTTTTAATCGTAAAACGTTCTACAACAGCTAAGTAGTATTCTTAGTAGTGCGTGATGTAAATCTAAGAAAAATGCAAATTTGGACGAGTGACTAAAAAAAAATTTGCACTAGCTTAGACATCATAAAAAATATTCTCAAAAAAAATTTTTCATATTTTGTAAGTCATTTTTTTTTTCTCAAATAAAAAAGAAGTCTTCTTGCCTTTTATAGTGGCGAATTACATGAAGAACATTTACAAAAAAAAGTAAAGTACAAGTTAATGGAACAGCAGGGATTTGAGCTATCATCTTAGCATGTAAATTTTATCTTATAACTTGTTTGGAAAAATACTCTAAGAAAAATGAGATTAAAGTAAATGTGATTTTGGATATTATTGTACACACACACGCAGAACTATATATTGATAAAAGAATTTAAAAATTTTTAAAAATAAAGAGGAAATGAAGTATTAATTCTACTAAAAAGTTTCTGAAATAGGAATTCCAGTACATTAAATTTCATTCATTTCCCTCCTTTCTGATCTTGCTCAAATTTTACCAAAGCGCTCATCTATCTCTATTCTTGCATTTATACTAAATGCATGAAAGATGCAATTCTTTTCCATAGGGAAGTATTTTTCATCAAAACAATATGATATTAGTAATCAGTTCATCGAACTGCATCGAATCATGTATCCGAGGTTTCTTTTTCTTGTAGAAAAAGAAATGGGGGCGAAAATTTTCGATAAGTTCTCTCCTACTCGCGGGCGAAAATTGTTCAAAGAGATTATTTTTTTTTTTTTAAATAGTTTTTATTCACATCTAAATAGAATTTTAGACAAAAAATATGAACTTCGGCAAAAAGAAGCAACTTAACTATATTGCCTGTTTACTGAACTCTCCTATCCTAATCAAAATTACTGTAGCTATGTATATGAATATATAACTTTCAGTCAATGTAGAACAATTACTTTATAGTGAAAAACCATTGTCGTCCGTTTCTCCTTTTCAAGAGAATAAAAGAACAATTTCTTGAAAAGAAATAGGCAAAAGCAAAGAACATATTTAATTAGAAAGCTCATATCTATTATGAGAAAGCAAAAAAAAAAAAAATTGTTATAAAAAAAGAAGAAAATAGTGAAGAGAAAAACACATTTGATAAATAATGTCAAAATTCTGCTAAACGAAAACTAAAAATTGATTAAAAATCTCACCTATTTTTATTAATAAGTAAATCATTTATATTTTCGTTTCTTTTCATGACTCTAGATATGATCATTGTTGGATTTATATGAGAATTTCAATTTTCATTTTCATATATTCTAGAAAATACATCAAAAAATTTTGCTAGATATCTTATTTTGAAGCAAATATTTTGTTCTACTAAATTTCTTATACAAACAAACTTTTTAAATATTAGAAAAGAAAGAACTTAGATCATTGAAAATTTGAGAAGCGTCCAGACTATCTTGAAAATCTCATCTCGTTTTAGGTTAAATTGTTGAGAACTGTGAACAATCTCATTTTGTAGATCACATTTGACTTTATGTCTAATACAAATTTCAGAATTTTATCAAAACATAAGAGGCATCAACTTAATCAAATTTCAAAATTAGCAACGATAATGATCAAAGTTCGTGGACCGTATAAAGTATTCAAATTACACGATTTTTCAGCGGTAATAATTACTGTTATACCGTTGAATGCTTTACAAATATAGACTTCTTACTATCTTTTTAATTTAAATTGAGGTGCTGAAAATTTTGTTCTTAACGTAAAAGATACATAAATTAGATAAAAAATTTCGAACTATTACATCGATTTTGACTCTTAATCTTGTTTCTATAGAAGATCTCACATCACTCTGTGTAGTTTACATCGTAATAATAGTTCGACATCTGATAGATAAAACTAGTGCTTCTAAAGAGCTAATTAAAGTAGGCGATCTAATCTCCCTTCTATTACTTACAACAGAGTAAAATGTCATCAAATATTTATTTATAGCAGCAGAGCTATCAAATTCAAACAATCAACAAAGCCTAACTGTTAATGCTGTAAGAAATCATCGCATCTTCTTAATTATATTTGTACAATTTTTTTTTCCCCCTAACATAAAATAAATCTCTGCGATAAAATTATTTTTTCTGTTTCAATTCAATCTCTTGTCAAAGTTAGAAATCATACGCACAATATAATAATTGTCTGTTTTTGAATGAAATATTCACGAGTCATGTTGTGCAGATAGAACAGACATACATACATACGTACACACAGCACGCAACACACACACACACACGCACGCTTCATTTAATTCCATGACTTTATTCGTGTCATTTATTTTGTGCCGGCAAGTGTTGATGTTTTAATACAGAAAAGAAGAAAAAATAAAAAGAAGAGAAGGGCGAAAAAAGAGTTATCAGCTGTTGTATACTAGACAAGTCAACTTAATATAGTAAAAGAGAAGAAACAAAAAACATAACGTTCTTTCGAACTGTTGAATGCAACAACATAAAACAGATTAATTAGAATGATAGTGAACAGCAAACAGGCACACTAACGATTCTTTGACGATAAAATGCATAATAATTCTTTATTAGACTTTGGTATGATATAAAAAATAATTAGAAATAATACTGTTCCAAAAACATAGTTGATATAATCATATAATCAAATTTTACTAAAAGACGAGTGTAACAGCAGCTTCAGTGAATTATAACATAAAACTGTTCTCTTCATCAATACAATAACAACAGGAATGATGAACGATAAAAACATTAACAATGTAATGATATTTGAAATAGCACATCTGTGACCATAAACAAAAAATATTTGTGAATAAATTTCAAACCAAATGTATTTAACACTTTATGGAAATATCTTAGATGCTATGAACTATTATTCAAGCATCTCATATAATCAACGTAAGACAGACAAATTAGGAGTCTAGTTCTCATTCTATACACCAAAAATAGAATGAGAACAAACAATCAGTTATTTATTTAGATTTTTTACTCAGAGTAAACGCTTAGACATCGACCAGCGTTTGAATACAAAACCCTTTCTTCCCTTTTACCTGTTCTAGTTTCAAATATGTGTTCTAGCATACTGTAGAAGATATTCGAGATACATTGATTTTATACTTTTCTCTCTCTTCTTTTGTTTTTTTATACCTACATACGCTTTGATCAAGGTAAATGATTTTTTTCTATACGTTCTCTTCTTTCACAGGATATATATTATTATACTATGGGTGTTTAAAAAACACCAATGATTAGCTTACTATTAGATCAGGTAGAACTTTGAAATTTTTGCGTCATCTTTGTCTTAAGAAAACATATACATTAAAATAAAAGATTCATTTTCTGTTGTTCTAACTGTTATTATTTATCATTGACAAAGATGATTTATATAGACGGATGAGGAAAAAAGTATGCCTAAATCATGTAAAAAATTAATAAAACATTGTTTAGAACTTACGTTGGAGTAATTTTCAATGGCAAAAAAGGAAAGGAAATTAATGTTCTGTGGTATAACACAAAAACAAAATTTCTCTCAATAAAAAACGGATATTGTCCGATGTAAAATCTAAAATATACGAGAAAACATTTGCATTTTTTTCAAATATATCTGTTCGAATACACAGATAACTTTTTAGATAGACTTATAACTTTTCTATAGCAAAACGGTAATAGACTACTATAGATAGCTGAGAAATCTCCTATTGACAGAAACTGTTCAATATCTAATATTTTCATTAGTTCGTCAATTTCTAAATCACATACGTAACATTTTTATTTCTCAGTTGATATCTAGCTTAGAATGTTTGTTTTTAGTGTGAGTTCAAAGTAAAAAAAAGATTAATCACGCTCCATCGCCTAATAAAATTGCATATTCTATAGTTCTTGAATGAATCTAGCAAAATAAAACATTCATTTTCTACAAAAAACAAATGAAAATTATTTTGCAGAAAAATAGTAAATAAAAAAATATGAGCAGTTGTTGTTTTTTTTTAAAAATATTTACGAAAAAACAGTGACTAGAAAAACAGATTTTTTTTTCACTGGAAATCGTTCAATAAAAAACAAGCTTATCACAATACAATTACTAAATATACAAATCATCAAGATATTTTAAATCTGTTTCCATTTGTTCAAATTGATCATATTCAAAACCATATTCTTCGTAACGTTTTGACAATTTATTATAATTATTTAAATAAATCTTTTTATAATCCATTAGTGTTTTTATAAAAGATTTAGAATTATTTTTATCATTTTTTACCATTGTCAGTAGGGAATTGTTATTTAATTGTTTAAATGGATAAGGTAATTGAAATAATAACTTATGTTCCCATGATGATGATGACGTGATCATTGTTGTTGGATATTGTTCATGAAAATAATTGTCGATTAAACTTGAAGCAGAGTTAAACTGAAGTGTTGATTGAGTAGTATGTCGATTATATAAATGTTGTTGATTAATACCACGAATAAAACAATGACAAGCCAATGGATTATTGTCTATTTTCTCCTGATTTATAAATGGTGTTAAATTTGTCAAATCTGAAAATAGATCACGATCTTGTAGATAAGCTAATAATGTTGAAGATGAATTGAAATCAAATGGTAACATAGATGATAATGATAATAGATAATTTTTTCTTGGACACAATCGATCTACTAATGTGTCATATGTAAATGATGATGAAATTAATGAATGTTGAATAGCTATACTAAGAAGAAAACTTGTTTGATAAAATGATGTTGAATCATACTTAACCGATGAAAATTCTACTTTTTTATTATTTGATTCAAATGGATATTGAAGACTCAATGGTATTGTTGGCATTTCATTTGTACATACAGAATTAGCAAATGTCAAACAAAAATTCAATAAATCCGTTTGATTTTGTTTTGAATCTGTTTTGGGTTTAAAATTTAAATATGTAAATGTTGGACGTTTTGGACATTCTTCATATAGATAATCTTGAATACTTGAATATAGACCAGAAAATCCATCAGTCGTATCACATAAACAACGAAAACCTTGTAGACAATCACATTGTTCAAGTAGATAATGAAATGTTTCTTCAATTTCATTAACTTGTTGCTTGTAGGCTTGAATACCAGCATGATAAATATCAAATTGTTCATTATTATTATCGGAATCGTTATGCCAATGATCTTGCAATGTTATTAATGAACGTGGATTAAATGTTAATTTTGTATGTAGAAAATCTGGCCATGATCGAATTGTTTGTTCAAAATTTGTTGGTTCAAGTTTTTCTTTTTTTTCTTTTATGTTATCTAAATCTTTCAAATAGTCTGATTTTTCATTATCCCCATTTGAACGATCTATATACTCTGTATTTGCATCTAATTCATGTGTTTGAGAAGAAGAAGGATCAACAACATTCGATAACCATTTTAATGCACCTCGTCGATCAAATAAAATTAAACGTGGAGTACGTTTATTTTCATTTATGTTGAAAAATGACGTATTGTAATAATCTACTGACGATTCTACATCAAAATTATTCCATAAATGTGTACCGATATAATTCGAATAGTGACCAACTTGAATTGTAACAATTTCTCGACTAGATGACGACATAATACTATCTCTAATCTAAATAAGAGAAAAAACAACAGACTAATACATGTTAAAAAACAAACAAAGCACATATTTCTTTCAAAAAAAGTCATTAGACAAATACATAACAGAACTATCTGAATCAGAGTCCATTTTAATTCTTTGTTTTCTTGTTTTATCCATAAGAGGAGATTCAGATATTTGATATGTTAAACAAAGACGGGAAAATTTAATCCCCATATTTACTAAATAATTTTTAATTTCATATTATTGCAAGTGACGAACCACAGAGAGAGTAAGTGAATGAGAAAAGAGTAGAAAAATATCAGTCTACTTGTTCTACAAATGACAGAAAAAAAAACAGTCGAAACAAAAATGAGTTGTATTATATGTTACTGCTTGTACTTGATCATCTTATGTATTACTTGAAACATACATAAAAGACTAGTCTCGTCGAAAGTAGACAATAACAATATTAAAAAAGAGTACAAGAAAAAAGAAAATACTAACCACTTATACTAACACACCAGATGCTTAACTCTACTTCAATCAATACCATTATACAAAGAAATAGAAATATCTTTAATAAAGAAAAGCAATGCGTAGTGAGAAATAAATAGGATTAAAAATAAGAAATCTGACGCGTCATCATCATCATCATTATTATTTATCATTCAATTTACAACCATTTGATTGACGCTCTTATTTTGAAATGCGTTGAGAATGCAATCATTATTTACCTGATATCATAGGACACAAATGAACAAATTCACTGTTACACGAATATCACTTCGAGAGAGAGAGAGAGAGAGAAAAGAAAGATCTGTATTCTATTCACTATCTAATATCTGTATCGAATAAATAATGTTGAACAGATATTGGTTTTTGAGCAACATAAAAATAGTGTGATGATTTATCATTTATTGTTACATCATCATCTTCATTGTCTGAAACATTATCATAAAATGATGGTGAACGTTTTAAGTTATAATCATCATCATCATTAGTAGTATTAGTATTTGAAAATGTTGTTGTAATCATTTTTGATATACGAATATGTTCATCATCAATATCAATTGTTTTTGAACTTTCACTTTCTGTATATGAACTAATATCATCGACACCATCACGATGATAATGTTGTTCATCTCCCACACCAATTACAGATGGTTCAGCACTTGATAATAATGTACAACTATCATAATCAACTATTAAATTATTATCACTAGGTGGATGACTACGTTTTATTTCTAAATATTGATCTTCAACAGATGTATCATGTGTTATTGCCTCTTCTGTTGACGGCATTTTTGTTGTTATTATTCGTGGTGGTAGTTGACGATCACCTAAAATATAAACATTACTTATATTTAATAAAACTTCTCTATTATTCTAAAATGTATGTATTTACTTTTATTTTCAATTTCTAAGTTTAATGTTGTTACATCACTCATCGAAATATTAAATGGTTTTGATGGTACTTCATTTTCTCTCAACGTTGGTAAACGTAAAAGATCATTTTGTTTTAATTTATCATGACAAACATTTAATTCTTCAATTATTTCATCATATGTCAATGTTGTATTAGCAAAATTTTGACATAAATCAGTTTTTAAAAATGTATTTAAATTATCAAATGTTTTTAAATGAATTAATTTTTTTCGATTTATCTTTAAAATACAAAATGCCATTGTTAATAATACTTGTTCACCCTCTAAGATATAAATATCCCATATACGTAAGACAAGTTGAAACGGTAGACAGTCTAAAATCAGAGAAAATCATCTTTATTGATGTTTGTACATTTTTCAGCTTATCAATATAAACTTGAAATTCAATGACTCATAAATTTAGTGAAACAAAAATCTGGCATTTCTCATCTAAAACTAAGTATCAATCGGGCCCGTAACCAGGACTTTGTTAAGGGGGGGGTGCACTATAGATGTAAATCGATATACCAGTTTTCTTGCATTTTGTTTTTTGGTTGTATCGGGTCTAATTCCAATGTAGCTGTCTGTGCGACAGCGACCGATTCAGAAAACTAACAGGACACAAAAGGATCTGTAGCTATCTCTTCCTACAACTCGTTTAAGCAACCGAAGTAACTTTTTAGGGACTGGTAAAATATTCTCTTGTTCTCGTTCACGCTGTTTCTTAGAGGCTATCTCAAAAGAAAGTATGCTGTGCGTCTAAGTACACCTCTATATTTGATCGAAAATAGACAAAAAAACAACTGGTTAGCTAAGTAAATGTGAGAGAAACATAGTTCTGCTCATTTGTTGGTGAACCTGATACGCCGTTTTCATAGCAGTTAAAGTTTTACTTGTGGGATTGAAAACAGCAGGATACATTTTATAGTATTGCAATTTACTTACCTAGATAACATAACATAAACCATCGTATTGTAAAAAGATTACTTTCTAATTGATATTGAGTAAAATGTTTGTATAATTTTGGTAACATTTTTTTCATAATTTTTTCAAAATGTTCTTGAAAACGAAATAATTTCGGAAAAGAGGGAACAAAAAATCCAAACATGGTATAGGGTGATTGTGTCATCAATTGAGATAATGCCTAAAAATTAAAATATTTTTATTATATTAAGTGAAACAGGTCATGACAGTACACACCCAAAATGTTTCTTCTTCAGGTAAATACAATAGTAAAAATGCAACTATTTGATTCATGCCCTATAACGAAAAAACAAGATTTTGTATTTTTCTTTCTTTCCCATATTGTTCAACAAATACACACTTGACAGTAGCCTATTTCTGTATTGTACACACTAAAAATTTCAGGAAAAAAAGGAAATTTTCGATATATAATCAAAATACAGCGTTATTCGTTTTTACCTATATGCAGCTAAAATTGAAAATAAATGTTTTTGTCCTGAACAATATCGATTACAAAACATAGAATGATTTCGATATGTCCGATGAACATCTAAATCAATTTGTACAAGATATGTAGATGATAATCGTGCTTTTGCTTTTAATAGTTCATAATGTCCTTTATTTATACGTAGTTGTTCGTCTAAATTCAATAATTTTGACCAAAATGCTCTACGTAAAGATGATGGAATGCCTTTATAAATACGTCGACGTAATTGTTCACTTTTTCGAGTGAATTGTGTCCATTTTTGTAACATTTTTTGCCATCGTTCACTACGTTTTCTTTCCATATGAATTTGTTTTCGTTCATTAACTGGGATTGTTGTGAGTGGTTTTTCATGAATAAATCCGTAATGATCAATACAATTTGTATCTGTGTCGGATAAACGTTGATGTTGCATATTTGCTAAAGCCGCAGAGTCATCTCCTATGATAGTTCCACCACTTTCATACAAGAGAAATAGTTTTTCACGTTCATCATTTTGTTTAGCGACTTGTGGAGTCGTCGATTTGTTAACTTTCAACAATGATGGTGAAGAAGGTGGCATTGGTAAAGGAGGTGGAGATGGAGATGAATGAAAATGTGTATGAGATTCATTTGCTGACTGTTGCTTAATCGACATTTATCTATATTAGTATCAAACAAGGAACTAAACAAATTTTTGTTTTTATATTTGAAGAGCGTACCAATATATTAACAGACTTTTAGAGAATAAAAGTGATCACTAAAATTGTCATCTGGAGACATATCTAAACAAAACAAAAAATGATAAATTTCTTTTTGAAAAGATAGATTCAATTACTTTAATGGTTAAATCTTGCAAAAACAAGATGGATGTGCATAGCTAGATGACGATAAATAAAGTCAACTCCATTCAGCTAGAATATTTAGTCAAAGGAAAAGAATAACATCTAGAACATAAACGATCAACTACAAATATTCCAACGTATTCACAAAGTTTAACAACAAGAAAGTTTTTTAGGATAGATCCAAAGTTGATGACCCATGTACAAGAGAGCAAGTGTAAATAACATTTCATAAGGTTGTTTTTTTGCATTACGATGAAGTTTTTGAATGAACCGCGTTCGGTAAAAAAAAAACTCATTTCATCCTCATATGAACGAGTTTGGGTACATTATTACATACACGTATACAAACTCTAAGGAAATTGAAGTATATCAATTAAAGATTTATATAATGGCGTGTTGTTGATCATGTTATATACGTGAATGTGGTCTAAGCATTTCCCTTGAGATTGTTTTATTAACATGAACTGTAGCAACAAAAAGTATGCTGATGGCAAATCTCTTGAACTATGATACCTAAAGGCTTCAAATGTTGTGTACTTATAACTCCCATTGAATGTTGATCACTTAGTATAACTAAAACTTTAGAAAGTGCATTGAAAAGATTGTAAAATACGTCTGCGTCGAAAAAAGTTATGAATATTCCACTAAACCTGTGAACAACGACATCAGCAGACTTTTGAACGATCATGTATATTCGAGTCAGAATTTTCTACAGGATTATCAGATCTAGTCACAACTGGAAATCAAACATACTACGCAAAGAGAGGGAAGTCGATTGAGTAATACAACTGTCAGAGAACGTTTGCTATACTGCAAACACCTTGAAGATACAGACGGTATTTATACTTATATAGAAAATAAAAATTAACTGTAAGAAACTTCAAATTGGCCATCGATTCACCATCTCATTAGTCCTACTTTTCACGCCATATACTGTGAGATGTAGCAGTTGATGATTAATTACATATGCACTTGTACTATATATCCTGATAAGTATCACGTGACTGTTCATTATTAAATAGAAGAAAAACGGCGAAGTCCTGAAAATACATCATTATAAGTAAATTAAGGTATAGATTCGACATCAATCGTATACAGCTGTTGAAATTGAATCATGTTTTTTTTCTAAACAATCACACGTATCAAAGTAAGACAAGAAATAAGAAAAACTTTTTCTGACACAAAGCAATAAGTCTCATATCATTTCACTCAGTCGACTTGAAAATGTCAAATGACGTATATCTCCTTTACAATATCGCCCACTACAAAAGAGGACTGGTACACCGAAAACAGATTTGTTTTTAAAAAAAAAAAAAGAAAGAAAAATTTTCAGATATATTGTTTGCTGTCGTTTGCACATCTGTAGGGACAGATAGCTTTTCACACAGCCGCAAGAACGAAGAAAATAATCTTTTCATAGACCTTGTGACAAATTTCTCCAAATGTTCAATTTTATGAAGACAAACTACAACCAAAGCGTACGCAGTGTATCACTGCACAGTGCTCATTGTTCATTTCCCAGAAATTGAATACCCAGAAAAACATTTCCTCTCTTCCGTTCTGTTCGTTAAAAAACAAGAATTATATCTGACCAACGTTAGAAAAGAAAAAAAAAATTATAAAAATAGAAGAACAAACCAACCAATCAAGAACAATTGCAGACTAGAGTTCATTGTTTTTTCAATATGGTGACTGTTTGATAATACGTGACAGCTTGGCTAAGCTATTTAAAGAGCATATGCTAAGAGTAAATCTTTACATTCTACATAAAGTCGAAACTTCGCAGTGACTCTGTCACTGCAACCGGCTGTTTTTTTTATTGTGACGTACAGTATTTTGGTGCTAGATAGTGCTGAACTGATTTAAAATTTTTTAATCAGCCGCCATTTTTCAATTCTTTCGGACAAGAAGCCGCAAACAAGCGTTTTTTAGCCTGCAGAGTTGCAGATGACGCCAATTTCGATTATTCTATCTCTATGGCTCCGCGTTAGCTAGTGTCTCTAAAAATAACTTCATTATTGGACATTTGATAAATGAAATCGCTATGTACTGAACTATAGTAATATAATGTGGAGTAAGATTTACGATTATTATATTGTATTGTCAATTACACAAACGGAAGATGTGAGGGCGCCAGTGGCCAAGCACGTGAGAAAAAACGTGCAGGATTGCCGAAGAGCGTAGAGATCAGATAACTAATTTTGATTCCACTGCCTCTTATCTCATGGATGTCATCAACTTCTGTAAAAGCGTGGGCAGAATTTCATGGGAGAAGAAATTGTTAGAAAACTACATTGATCGTTGACAACTGCGAAATTTTAAAAGTTGTTTTTCGAAAGTATCAAATGTTTTACCTTTATAGAAATTAATTAAATAAATGCGTAAACTTTAGCTGCAGTTTTACTTATCATGAAGGGAGAAGTAAACAGAAACGAAAGGTGTTTATTATAGCGATATTTTTTGAGCCGCGTTTTTGTCATTAGTTTTTTAAAGACAGTATTGATAGCGAGAAGACGAGCTGAGTATTGGTTTTGTTTTTCTGTTACTCGATCAAAAAATGTTTGACGTCGTCAAAACTCGAAAAGATATCGACTGGAGTTATCCACACCTTTTTTATTTATTGTCAAATTTGCTTGCTCACCGGTGTCTTCTTTCTTTGATTCTAAATTATTTCACGTCAGTGTCTGTTTGTTATTTTAGATCAACAGTTGTTCTGACTTAACAATCTTGCATCTTTTTAAAAATTCTTTATTAATTCTTTGTACGTATTTTATTATAATAACAATGGCTAATTTTGATAGCGACGTACAAGATTATTATAGCAAAGAATTAAAGAATTCAGATTCTGATTTGAAAACACGTACAAGAGTATCAATGCCGAATTTTATCAAAAATATTCAAAAGGATATTCATCCAGATGTTCAAGCAAAGTATTTTATATTGAAATGATTGTTTTAATTTAGAGCCATTCAGTCTTTTCATATAGATACTATGGCTGTGGACTTGTTTTTCCTCCAAAATTAGAAAAGTGTAAAGTTTTGGATTTGGGATGTGGTTCAGGTAGAGATGTACGTATCTCGTCCTTTTGTCGCAACAATGGCTAAAACAGTTCGATTGTTAAGGTTTTTATATTATCACGTCTTGTTGGCCCAGAAGGTTATGTAGTTGGGATCGATATGATGAAAGAGCCGGTAAATTGGTTAGTTGTATGAGAGAACGGACAAAACATTTATTTTATTTTTGTTTTTGGTAGATTGATGTTGCTCATCGCCATACTGATTATCACATGAAAAAATTTAATTACAAAGTGCCAAATGTCGAGTTTATAGAAGGAAAAATCGAAAATCTAACAAAAATTGGTTTAAATGAAAATTTTTTTGATGTTGTTGTGTACGTATTTTTCCAAACAAAACATTTTTCTCATAGAGTAAGAATATTTTTTTTGTTCTCAGTTCTAATTGTGTCATCAATTCGACGCCTGATAAGAAAGTAGTCTTTGACGAAGCATGGAAAGTACTTAAGGTAAGCGTATTGTAAATTTCCATATTTTATTAAACAGTCTGTCTTTTATAGCCGGGTGGAGAGTTTTACCTTTGTGATGTGTATGCCGATCAAATGCTACCTGATGAATTACGTACCAATAAGGTTCTTCGGGGTAAGTGACGCTCTGTAGTATAATGTGGACGACAATTTTAAGTTTTTATTTAGAACAATGTCTGGCAGGAGCTATTAAATGGGAAGATTTGATTCTCCATGCAACTGAAGCGGGTTTTACACAACCACGACTCATTACAGCCAAACCAATCGATATTACTGATCCTGATATAGAGAAATTAGTTGGTTGGTCTCTTTGCTTCTCTGAAATACATTTTCACAGCATTTTCCGATATTTTAGGAGATATTCGTTTTGTAACCGCTACATTTCGTTTATTCAAAATTCCGATGAATGAAGATGAATTGGATATTCCATATTTATTAACATATGAAGGCGAAATTCCAGGTTTTGAATCCGCATTTTCATTTGATAATACAATAACATTTAAAGTAAGTATAGTTTCGTTTGTTTTGTAACTTGTTCGGGTGTCATTTCGAGTTTTTACAACTGTGTTTGATAATACTCTCAACTATTTCAGCGTGGAGAAATGGTATCATGTGGTCCAACTTTAGCTTCTGCTATATTATATTCACGTTATAAAGATAATTTTGGCTTCGAACCAATTGACAATACAAAACATTTTGATGGAACAGTTGTTGTTGTTGAAGAACAAGAAGTAAGATATATTTTACCATTCAGCCTCTTTTTTCGACGATTTTTGAGAAAGCTAGTATCAACATAAGGGAGGTGAGGGGAGAGGATGGGAGCGGCAGTGCGAGAGTGAACCGCTACTATTATGAGGTATAGTGTATGTATGACTGATATATCCTGGCTCCCTTACCTAACCTAACCTAAGAGTGTTAGGTAACGTGTGGAAATTCATTTAAATTTCCCAACATTAGCTCACCTTACCTAACATAAGATGGTCTACTATATGACCGTATATTCTTACCGTACTCTATTATGTGCCTAACCTTACCTTACCTAATCCATGGCTTTAAAAATAAAAGTTTGGAGAAGTTTTAGACACCAGATGTAATTTTTTGAATTTCCAGGAAGAACAGGCCATGACTCAGTTGCTTAATCTGTTTGTAAGTAACTATTTTTGTTGTCATGTGGAATAAAAATTGGTCAGAGATGAGCGAGTTCTGCTCGAAATCATTCCTTTCTCGCTCTACCTACATATGTTTCAATTAAATATGAAATATTATAGAAAATATTTTTAGAAATTCGCTTATAAGACTCTTATAATGTATCTAAATACTTAATAAGTGTGAAAAAGAACAGTACGTTTTAGATTGTAAATATTAGAACATACCTAAACATCAGCAAAGTTTAACATTAAGTTTACTGAAGAAAATGTTTCTCATTTTTCTTTAGACATTATTCAGAGACGACGGTGTCACGGAAACTACGCAACATTCATACATTATTACTGAATATGATGATGATGTAGCCGATAAAAGACATTCGAAATCATCATCAGTTACAACCGACAATTCCACTACCGAACCTTCTGTCACAAGAAAAAACACTTAATTAGGTTGTTCAATGATTACAAAAAATGTCTGAGACAAAATGTATGCGTGCTTGTGTGCGTGCGCCTCAGATGAAAAAAATAAACCAGCTGATTTCTTCTGCTTTTGAATCCGGTTGTATTTGTTATTGCAAGCAATATTTAACCTAGAATTCCATGATGTATCATTTCCAACTAAAAATTCTGCTCATTGCTGTTTCGTGATTAGATAACTTATCTCAAAGTCTGATTTTTTTCTCTTATCCAAAAGAAATGCATGAAACGAACAGTTTGAATCTTTAGGTAGCAGTACATTCTTGTCATTTTTTATAAATTTTTGTGTCCTTATGTAATGCTTTGCACTCTCTCTCTCTCTCTCTTGCACTTCTGGCCAGTTGAACATGTCACATTCTTATTCAAGCTAACAAAATGAAGAAAATATGACAGCATTCGCATGTATTGTCATCAACAACCGTTTGTTCTATGTTTGTAATTCTTATTAGTTGTAACTTACGTTACTTAAGCATTGTATTTTAAAAATAAAATTTTTATGACAGATTTTCTAACAATAGTCTAAACTAGCAGAAAGTTTTCTCACTGATTCGTTTCATCAGTTTTTAAAATTCACCATTTTACAGTTATATAACTTTTTATTCATACAAGGATGCGTCAAATCAGCTTTTCTTTTTCTTGCGTTTTGCTTTGAAAAATGGCCTATTCGAGATGTGATATGAGATGTTTTATGTTTAAGATAAGCAGAAATAACGCACGCATTTTTTTTTTTTATTAACATATTTCAAACATATAAAATATCGGCTTTATTTCGATATTTTTCAACTATAACTAAAGGAACAGTTATGCATGTTTCACATTTATATCAAAAATTATTAATAAGATTGAATAATTCTAAATGTTTATTGTATGAACATCCTTTACGTTGTGAAGATCGGTTTCGAACGACGTCCTTATTCTCGGTCAACAAAGATTACATCATTGACCACAAGTTTAAAGAAACTCCCAACGTTATCTAAAGTCTACTCATCATCAACAGCAGAGATGTTATAATAATAAACGTCATCATGTATCAACTTTATCATCATCACCTGTTGAGTAACATGGAGAAAGAAAACTAACTATTTAACAAACCGGTGAAGGCAAGTAATCCATCAAAATTAGAATATTTTTTAAAATATATAAAAAGTGAACTTATTGAAACTGTATGATAACTTGGTAAATTCATTTTTTCGAAATATTTCATGTTGTTTCTATTCTTTTTCTAGTTACCAAATTTTATCAGTACGTATCATCCATATGCTTTATATGCAAATGAATTTGCTCGCGAAGATTATTACTAAGAGTCGTTAAAGATAATCGAGTAGGTATATTTCAATCTAAATATTTATTTTCTCTTTTTAAGAAAACATTCATGTTTATTTTCAATTTAGAAATTTTACTTCATACCCATGACATGTATTCTGCATAAGAACAAGGATGAATTTTACTTATATCAACCAGATGTTTACATATTAAATACAATAATTGACAAAGAATTGTCTACAGTTATGCTGTATTAACGAATTAGTGGTATACCGAACAAAGCCATTTTTCTATTAGTTCCAAGAACAAAAGAACAAATGAAGGACACAGCAAAACGATCTGATGAGTACGTTCAAAGCAGAAGAAATAGCGTTTCTTCTGAAGACAAAACCTGACCACTTTATAATGCTATGGCAATTCGTTTTAGCGACTTCTGGCAAGATATATGACTCATGTTAGAGGTACTTTAAGCATTTCAGGAAGATTTCTACATATTTTTCTTATAACGCATTAGTATATAGCTAAGTTATAGTGTAGATAGAGATCCAGTGCGTGTGAAAGGTCTCAGAGGATTTTTTTCTGTAATAGAATTGTCAATAGTCTCTCTTGGCTGTTACAATGTTTTCTTGTCAATATAGGTAAACTGGCAAACTATATCAGCTTTAAGATTACCTTGCCAAATTGGACAAACTTGCTTTACCTATTCGAGGAGCATTTTCTAATTGAATAAGAACGATAGATTACCGTTAAAAAGGGTAAAATTTATTAAGCAGAGTTGAATTGGATTTCACATCGCGCAAAACAAAGAATGGACTATAAACACTTAATTTTAACATACACTGAATAAACAGTATGCCGAAGAAGAAAGAACATTTCCCGCCTAGTGGACCTCTTTTAATGCATATAATACTTTATCTGATTGAGCAAATGCTAAAGTGGACTGTATGAAGTTGACGGTTGAGCTTCTTAAGATCAAATTACGACATAAGTCGAAAGATGTTAACTTGCTGAGAGTAAGATCCTTGATTTGATAGGAGAATAGAGTCAAAGATAGAGTCAAGCTTTGTCGTTTTAACTTCTTTTTCTTTTTATGGTTCTAGATGGAACGGTGGTTATTCAATATTTTTTGTTCGTGTTGGTAGTCGTACATATAAACATCGTACCGATCAGGTATATATTCAATGTATTAGACCTCAAAAAAAATCACTATATTTTTTTATTATTATTTTAGATCATGGAGACAATCAATACATTTAGTGCATATAATAAAAAGATCAACAAAGTTCCTACGGCTGCTCCAGCCGTTTTGTAACCGAATCCTGTTATTTTTTTCAATTGTATAAATGTTTTCTCTCTAAAAGAAATCTAATATGATTTATAGTTTGTAATATTGTGCAATATTGAGAAAAACATTAATTCAGGATTCATAATCATTATATCCATCTCGTTCTTGTTGAGCTAACAACCATTCATTCTCCTTGTAATTTTTCTTAAATGTAATTTTTTGAATATTTTTAACATTTTTTTTTGATTCATACAATTTGAAGAGACTTATTTCTTTTATCACACATATGCATGAGGAAGAGAAATACGGTATGTATGTTTTTTGTTTGTTGGGTAAATTTTTTATTCTTATTTTGTCTCTATATAGTTTATTACACGTGGATGGAAGCGTCCAGCGGTGTCGATAGTACAATTTCTTACTCATATGTTGTTTTATTTGAAAAACAATGTGTTATATATGATCTTACGTCTTATTTTGACTATATCAAATACTAAAAATGTCTAGTCAGATCAGATCAACGATGTAATAAACGAATAATAGCTATCGCGGCTGAGGTGTATCGTAGTTAGTAAATAACTCTATTGATTTGATAAAGTATTGGTATGAATAGGATGATATGATCTTCATAGTAGTCGCGTTCTGTACACCATTGAAAAGCTTTAATATGAATGTTGTCGAAGATCTACAATCTTGTTCTCATACTTTCTAGCCCTTATCAATGTTCTCCAACTTTGGGTATTATTTGTTTTTCTTTCAAGATTTACATTTCGGAAAAAAAAATTTTTTTGCCAATTTTATGCGTGAAAAATCAACTTTTTTTCTCTTCTGATAGTATAACATCCTGTTGAGAATATTTTTAGTATAATCGGCCATTTTGATGTGCTTACGTTCTGATTTTCTACAATCATGATAAAAAAGAAAATGATTTCTCTCTTTCATGTTTTATTATTTTCTGTTTCTGTAAGTTTCAGAATGGGTGGGAGATGACTTTTTGCTCTTTTGTCCCCGCCCCATCCTTGGCGAAGGGTAAAAAATGTCTTGTCGAAGTTCACATGAATTTTTGTATGTCAAGTTTTATCTTTCAATAGTTTTATCACAAAAATATTTGTGCGCCGTAGGCAAAGTAACAATTCGCTTCAGCTTATTTTCTTCTCCGTTCGCTCGCTTCACGAGTATAAAAGAACTTTCCGACAGGAATCGCAAGGACCCTATCTTCGATTAGTCCTCTCTTTCTTTCTAAGTGTCACTTGTCATAGATCAGTCTTATTCACTGCATTTTGTACATACCTTTTTTTCTTTTTGAAAATGTTTAGTAATAAATTTCTCTCTTCCTCTAGATGCCCTCTTTACCATCTTGTTTTTTTTTATTCGTTTTACTCAATGATGGGTGACTTGATTCGAACAATACCAGTCAACGAGAGTGTGCTCGTTTCATAAGGGATATAAAGTAATCTTTTAAGTAAGATAATCAAATGAACTTGTGAAAAAGCAATCTGTAAAAGCAGATAAAACAATTTTAATACATGACATTGAGCTCATTCTAGCAAACTTTCATGAATTTGGCAACAATTTTTTTCTCGCTGAATTTGAGTTGCCTGTATCAGAGATAGCTTCTTGGTCACTCTCTTGAGACATAATCCTCTTTTCTACAATCAATGCGAATATTCGACTTTGTGAAAAATAATAATCATTAATATTAGAAATTGAAAATGGGGATATTCAAAGTTTAGAAACAGATTAGAAATCAACGATCTCCTATTAAGGTACTGTCAGCCAAAAAAAAACAATGTACTCAGTCAATTTTTTTAGTTTTAATAGAAAATAAATAGAAAGTTGCATTTTTCATCATTTTGTAGTCCAGGTTATGTCCATCTTTCTCTGGAACTAACTAAAGTTTAGCATCTTTTCACGGCTTCGACTAATCAGTTTGTGGTATACAAAGTTTCTATGAATATTTATATATCCATAATGTAATTTAAGCGTCTACACACACGAATAGTTTTCTACACGTACATGCGAACCCAAACGTTTCATCTATCAGCCGGTTCAGGCGTAGCATTGTTTTTTCTGGAAAGTTTTCAAGACTAGTATCGAGTACCTTCGAGTCATCTTGAAAATAAATAGTAGATTTTCTCACTTTTCTCTGAAAACAAACATTGTCATGAGATTGAGAGTGATTGATAATCTATGTTTTCATTCATTTTCAGTATTACTGCTATCTATAATTAGTTGAAACATTATATAACCAGATAGGGATGTTCGGAGTAGGGATGAACATATAAATTCAATCCGCTTTTTTTAGACGAACAGGAGTATCAGGTTATATAGTAAGATTTTCAGAGCCGCCCCGAAGACTAAAACACAGGAGTCGAAACTTGGGAGTAAATTCGAAATTTTCAAAACGAGAGTAAATTTCCATTTTTTCCAGAGAGTGGAAGTCACGTACGTATAAGTTTAAGACAAGTAATAACGTTAACTTTCTACATTTTGGACTTTGTCCAGTATCATTGCTGGACACTTTTTCACTGAAAGTAAATTTTATCTAAAATGTAAAGAATTGTTCCACCATAGAGTCAACTTGAACTAATATAGATCAGAATGATATACGAAAACATCATAAAATTAGCAGTAAACAACCCAGATCAATAGAGATGTATCATGGTGTATTCCTTTCTTTTCACTTCCTGGCAAATGTTAGCGTAGACTGTTGTCGCAGATATGTGCCAGAAAGTGAAAAGAAAGGAAGACATCTTATTTAATACATCCTTAGCGACAAAAACGAACGAGAAAATATATATAGAAATTGTTTTCTTTCAAACTGCGATCAAACTCTTTCACATTTCCATCTAGATAAAAGAAAAAAGCTCTGAAACCGAGAGCGAGAATGACACCATCGTTCTTCTCCGTTCGTGAATGTTTTTTTTATATCTAAAGTCGAAGTAAATCATGCGTTAAAAGAAAATTTTCAGAGTACATTTTTCCTAGTTTTGGAGTAAAAATTTCAAAAAGCATGAAAAAGATTCCCTCTCCTGATCGGGGCGGCCCTGAAGATTTTGTTCTTTTTTATATCAGTAAAACTATATATTTATCTTGGCTTTTTTTTTATTTCTCGTTAATTCTACGATGCAAATGACAACTCATTTCTATTTTTCTCTTCGAAGTGTCGTGCCACACTTGTAATTTTTTTTAAGAGAGGTGCGAAATGTAGATACAATGAATTTTCTCTTTTTCAAATTGACTGAATGAAATGATATGAGACTTATTGCTTTTTGCCAGAAAAAGTCTTTCTTCCTTCATAATATATATGCAGTTTCTCATTCAAGGAAAGCACTCATTTTCAGCCATGCTTGATTTGTACATATTTGGAGAAATAAAGACGGTTCAACTCTTTTCAGAGTATGGTAACTAACTTTTAGACTGTCATTTCACTTAGTGTAAAATGTCTGCTGTGTAACACGATATCAAACGTCAAATCTAACTCAGTTTTTTGTCCAAACGCATGCATGTTTTCCACTATTTTTCTCTTCATCTTTTGTCATCCTTAAATTTGTTTTTTTGTACTTTAGACATATACACAGATGAGAGTGAAAACCCTATAAAACTCGATTATATTCTATTTCTTCTTATCGGCCTTTACCTCCTATTTTCTCTGTGGAAGAGCATTAAAATATTGTTTTGAAATGTCAGGCCAGCGAGCGAAAGATGCTGCTCGCCATTTGAAGGATGAAATTGTTCATTCATTAAAAAATACAAAATCTCATGGAGCAACAGGTTTGGCTGGTAGGAATAGTTTTTTATTTTACACTCCCAAACATTTGTTGCTACATCACTAACTTTTATCGTTTCTTACTAACAACTAACTTATTCGGCTTTGCACTATTTTATTTCTTTAATATAACTCGAATAACATCAGTCATCATCAAACACGCCCACTTTTTCTAGATTTTTCGTCTTTTTTTGTGCATTTAAACGCGTTTTCGAAAAAGTTTGTCTGCTTGGGAAACAATAAAAACTACAGCATTCTCATCATGAATTGTGAAAAGAAGAACTTTTTGAGAAAGAACAAACTTCTTATCAGACAATGAGTTTTGTGTTAGAGTGTAGTGTATTAGTCATAGATGGAGAATAAGATGGAAGGATAGAGTCGAACGTGTTGTTCTCTTAAAATGTCATGCAATCGATAGTAGAGACACAAAGTTATATTTTTGACAATGAGCTTCTTCGTTTCTACTTTTTGCCTCTTCTTCAGCATCAATGAGTTTCTCATATACAAATAAAGAGAGTTTTTGAAACTATGATAGGTTAATAAGTTACGTATCTATTACATCTGATATAGAAATATCCCCTCCCTCTTTCTCTCGCTCTTTATCTTATTGCCAGAAGTGGAAGCAAAGATCAGTAACTTAAAGGAAGAAGTGACGAGCCTAACGTTACCTATGATGATTAAAACATTGATAGTTCAAATTGGTGTACATTATAAACCCATCGAAAGTTCATCATAGATACCAGAAACATCTCAAAATTTTCTCTCATTTTTGACTTTTCCTCTCGAGTTATAGAATTGTCAAAATCAAAAGTCTTAGTTTTCCATAGGCTTTTTTGGGATATTTTTTTAATAACAGACGAAAATGTCAAAAACGAAAAAGAAGCTTGTGATCTGAAATATTATTCTAGGTAGCTATGATCAGGTTTTCGACTCGGTAGGATGAAGTTTCAATGGAATCATAATGTGCACCCATTGGGACTATTGGTGTTTTTTAAAAGTATCACAGGTACAAGAAAAAATACTCTGAAAAGTTCTAACTGAACAGTATTGATGTGTTTCTTGATAAACGCAAGCGAATGGCTGCGATATCAAGTTCTACTGTTCTTCAAGTTTTCTCTATTCAATCTTGAGTTAGTATGGATTGTGAAAACGAGAAGAACCTTTCTGCATACAAATAGACGAATATTATTCCTCTAATTATTAATCACACAAAAAACATCTTTTATTTAACTACGAAATTATTCTTAATACGGAACAATTTTGTTGTTGTGATAATGTTTTTTTTTTCTAAATTTCATTTATTCTTTCAATTAACGTGAACAACCACTCTGCTTTGTTGGGATTTTAAATTGTGATCTTACTTGAACATTTATTCTATAAGCTATTACACGCTATACATTTATGTACATTTAAACTATTCACTAATCTAAAATATTTTCATGCAAAAGTATTTTATTGATCATGATTTTTTGTTCTAACTTTAGATCCTACAGGTCAAACATTGTCTGTACCCGCGAACAAAGATCGATCACAAAGTCCAAATCGGACGATTGCCACGTTAACGTCGCTTCCAACTGCACCACAGAATATAAGTAGTCTTCAAATCCGGGATTTTGGTTAGTGAATCACTAATTTTCTTTTATTGAACTGTATATAATATGATATTTCTAGGCGATCATAGTGCAACATCGTCTCATTCTGATATGACGACAGTTGCTACTCCGTCGTCTTCGTTAACTACACAAATATCAACCGGACCACCTCCCCTAGTTGGTTCAAACATGCCGAATACAACAACAGCAACCGGAATTCTAAGTCAACAACAAGCGACCATGCAATCCACAGCCCCTGCAACAGCTAATGGCAAAGATGAAATGCGTGGTTGGTTATATAAATGGACAAATTATTTAAAAGGCTATCAAAAGCGTTGGTTTGTATTACAGAACGGTATATTATCGTATTATCGTTCTCAAGATGAAATGTCACATACATGTCGTGGAACAGTTTATTTGGATTCGGCCAATATATCATCATCCGATTCATGTCATTTTGTTATTTCAAATGGTTCGACAACAATGCATTTAAGAACATCTAACGAGACCGATAAACAACGTTGGATAAATGCATTAGAATTAGCTAAAACAACAGCATTAAAATATCGTAAAACATATAATGATGATTCGGATAATGATGATTCGAGTGGTAATGAAAACGATTTGGATGAGGAAAAATTAAAACTCAGTGGTGGTACAACAGCACTACTAAAAGAAACGGCTACTTCACAAGCGAGTAATACTGAACGTGCAGAAATTCAAACATTAACAAAAACATTTGAATCAAAATTAAATGATTTGAAAATGTGTATGGATTTAATTAATCGTCATTATCAAGCATTGCATCGAACACTTGGAGATTTAGAACAAATGGATAAAACAGAGACAACAGTGAACACAATTAAAAGTGTTAATGAACGTGCAACACTATTTCGAATAACATCGACAGCTATGTTAAATGCTTGTCAAGAATTAGTACAATTAATACAATCACAAGGACGTAAATGGCAAAAAGCCATACAATTTGAACGTGATGCAAGAATAAGAATGGAAAAAATGTGTGAGCAAGTGGCGACGCAGTCGGCTAAATTAGAAAAACAAGTACAGCGTGCATCAAGAAAAGACAAAGAAGATATTGTAGGAGGTACAACGATGAGTGGTGGACGATCAACAATAGCATCGTTAAAAAATCTAGAAGGAAAAATGTCCCGAACAGAATCAGATGATGAAGAATTTTATGATGCTATTGATGATCCACAAACCATTGGAGTATTTCGTGTCCCCATGCAATCAAACGAAAAAACAAACAACATATTGGACGATGATGACAGTTCAGGGGAAGATGAAGCAGAGAGCGATGTTGATCAAAAAAATTATCCAATGGTTATTGTAAAAGGTAAATAAAAAGAGACTGACACTAAAGTTTCGAGTAACTGTGGCTTATATTTCAAGAGAATTGGTAATATCATTCATTAAGAATGGACTTTTATGAGAGCATCATTTATCTTTGAAGAAAAATAAAGTTAGTAATTCGTTCTGTTCTGACCATCTGACTGATATTCTTCGAAGAGCAACATCACATTTTCTTGATCTGATAAACCGGACTTACTATTTGTTGAGATGTATGAATCGTATGGGTATGTGTCTAGTTAGTTAGCAAATACATAGTTAATAATATTTTTTTGTTGTGTACAATATGTACGAGTGTTACTAAATTTTTCATAAAGATGTGCTCATTTTTTTCAAAAAGAGAAAAAATGAGGGTCACTTTTGTATGTATGTGTATATATATATATATATATATATGTGTGTGTGTGTATGCATATGCAAATGTATGTTATCTGTCATTGAAGATAAGAGCAAGCACTTCGAATATGAAAATATTCTCTCATTGCGAAACATTTTGGGTTGAGATGCCGCAGTCAGGAAAGAGTGAGAACTAGTGTATAATTTTAAAGAGATTTTTTACTCAAGAGATAGCGCAACTAACATTGATTTACTGTATTCTCTAGGACCAAAGAAGGATACTGCTACACCAACAACACCGACCACCACTGGTGGTACGACAACGGAGGTAAATCAGTTGGAAATAAGCCATGAGCAAACTACACATGAAGCACAATCCTTATCAGTCGCTCCTGTAAGATCTACTCAACCAAAACGTAAACGTCGTGATCGAATTCCTGAAAGACCAAATTATAGGTATATTCATCATATTTTATTCAAATCATATATTAAAAAAGCTATTTCGAATTTTTAGTATTAATCTATGGGGCATAATGAAAAATTGTGTCGGAAAAGGTAACATCTTGTATTTTCCCAATGTTGTACTTAATTAATTTTTTCCTTAGATTTATCTAAAATACCGATACCGGTCAATTTCAGTGAGCCAATATCAATGTTACAGCGTATAACAGAAGAATTAGAATATTCGTCGGTATTAGATCGAGCAGCAAAAGCTACAGATAATTGGGAACAACTAGCCTATGTAGCAGCATTTACAATATCGGCATATTCGACAACTACAACAAGAGTTAATAAACCATTTAATCCTTTATTAGGAGAAACATATGAATGTGATCGTACCGATGATTTAGGGTGGCGTTCTATGGCAGGTAATAAAATTCATCTACTCTATAAAAAGTAGCCATTATCTTAAAAATATTTCAGAACAAACTGGCCATCATCCACCCGCATTATCCACACATGCTGAAGGTCAAGGTTGGACATTGTATCAAGAATTTACCATGACTAGTAAATTTCGTGGGCAATATTTAAGTATAACACCATTAGGTTACTCACATCTGGTATTTAAAAACACCGGAAATCACTTTACATGGAAAAAGGTGACAACATTAGTAAATAATATTATAGTTGGCAAATTATGGATTGATAATGTTGGTGAAATGGACATTATTAATCATACAACGAAAGACGTATGTAAATTAAAATATTATCCGTATAGTTATTTTTCAAAAGATGTACCACGAAAAGTGACTGGTGTTGTCACCGATTCACAGCAGCAAGCTAAATGGGTATTAACAGGTATATACTTAATAAATTCGCCTATTACTCTACTAAATTTATCTTTCTGTTAATGATAGGAACATGGACAGAAAAAATTGAAGGTGGTCCCGTTGATACTACTGCTCGTCATTCTCATTCCCATCATATGGAAACGCGCAATATGAAACTATTGTGGCAACGTAAAATGCCACCAGCATATTTAGAAAAAATGTATTATTTTACTGAATTAGCTATTCAGTTAAACGAAGATGAACCCAATGTTGCACCAACCGATTCTCGTAAACGTCCTGATCAGCGTCTCATGGAAGAAGGTCGATGGGACGAAGCAAATCAAGAAAAATTACGATTAGAAGATAAACAACGTCAAGTACGACGTCAACGTGAACAAAGTGGAAATGATGATTATGTATCAAAATGGTTTAAGAAAAAACAAGATGATTTAACACAGTCGGAAATGCACATATTTACAAATGAATATTGGGATTGTAAAGCCAAACAAGACTGGTCTAGATGTCCGGATCTTTATTAAAGACAAAAGTTTTGTGTGTGGTTTTACCTTTCTCTTTTCACCGTAAGTGCAAAAAAACAATATATCACTGCTTTAATCTTAAACATTTTTTTCTATGAGTGTATGTATGTTTTTATTGCGTTTTTTTCATGTTAATTTTTTCTTTGTCTATCTCGATATTTTCGCTCTAGTTGAACACTTTTTTCGCGTTTCATTTGCTATACGTGCCTTAAAGAAAACCGACAAAGAAAAATTCACTAGTCAACCCACATCAAAATTGGTCATTAAACTTTTTAAGCTCCGTATAATGTTCATCTGATGAAGTTTATTTTTAAATGCTATTTTTACATATTGAAGAGACACAGCACTTTTCGAAGCATCGTAATAATATTTCGGTTGAAGTCATACAAAATAACCCTCACATTTTAAACAATCAAACTTAAGCAACTTTTACTTAAACAATTTTTACTTTAATAGCGATTAGTTTTCAGCATCGGTATTATCATACTCACATCGTCTAAGTTTGATGTTGAATGAATTAGTCGACAACATAAAGTAGAAAGACATTTATGTTGAGACAACATATTTTTCATACCAATCCGTTTGAGAGTGTAAGTGTCACAGAAACAAATGTTAATTATTAAACTAGAACAGAAATATCGTACTTGTAAAGAAGTTCACAGTATTTTTCAATTTACACTTTGTTTGAGAAATCAAGAACAATTGGATTTACATTCGAGTAGCTAAAGGTTCTGTAAATCACTCGTTTATGATTCAGTGAGAGTTCGTGTGGCATGTTGCTTATTCATATGTGATATATTTTCAAGATTAGTAAAAACTTAGCAAAGTTTTTCAAAATATATGCACAAAACATCAAAATTAGCTGAGAAAATGACTGACTCTATGACTAATACGATTTTTGAGAGTACACAACAATAAATAATTTAGAAACTATCGAGAAGATAAGTGTATCTTATCGAAAGCTCCAAGAAACCGATAAAGTGAGTTTTAAATAAAATCCCATAAAAGTTTTATACTCGATAGTTTTTAAATTATTATCTACTGCTTTACCTTTGAATTATTTGCTAATAAATACTATCATAGATGCCACAGCGAAAACCTGCAGATTTTTATATCTCATAAGGATAATATAATACAATCTTATATATACAGCGAGCGAACGATAAAGGGGTCGCCTATGGATTGGAATTTAGTGATTTATAATTCATTGTTTTTTTATCCTTCAAAAAGATTCGTCATTTTTTAACTGACGAAGTGAAAAGTAGTAAATTATTATATATAACCGAATTATTCTTTTTCTCACCCAATTTCGCACGTTATGAAGACACAAACCACACACCTCATTGGACGACTTCTTGCAAATAAATAATGGCCTAGTATTAGTCAGAAGGGTCATGAAAAGAAAGTACATATATATGGCGTTAAATTTTGTACCATTCGTCATATTTTCGTCTTAAAAAATGTTCATAGTAGCGTGAATAACAGTAAAAAGTTAAACTGATTTTTATCACGACCAGTCATAAATGAAAATCGTTCTCTCCTACTAAATATAACATAGATAAAATAGAAAAGTCACACGAGATTGGAGACAAAGGCATAGTAAAAATATTATTTTGTCGCTATGTTACATTTTTCCTGTTGTATTCAATGTCCTTTGAATGAAAGTGGAATAAAACCTTTTTTCTGAAATATCAGTCAAAAACTTTACTTAAACCATTTCAATCGTCAACTTTTGGTGTCACATTTTTCGCATTACAAAGCGAGTCAATCTTAAAAAAAATACTGGCAGTAAAGTGTGAAAAATGACGCTTTGACACTATCTGTTTTTCTCTAAAATAAGCAGCAACACAGTATCTGAGCAAAACTGTCATAAAAACACATGTTGGCCTTAGGATAAGCGACCGTCTATTCGTTATTTAAACTAGAAGAAAGGACGAAGATTATTGAAAAACTATTTTCCTACTTCCGAACCGTTTCGGAAATCCAAGTACTGTCTATGCTCTTTTAAACTTTTCTCAAATTCACAGTGTAACTTAGTTAAAACAGAGTGCCAGGGTTCCCGATCAAGGGGAGGGGACAGCCTAGGGATGGGATGGGCTAACAATTTTGTTTCACAAAAAGTGGCTGAGGAAATTTCAAACTGTTTTTAACCGTCGTAGACTTTTCTCTGTCTAATTTAGTTAATTAACTAAGTAAAAATAAATTAACCTCAGTTTCATAATTTCATGGCTTTTCGAGTTGCTCACTCGTAGGTTCGTTTTTGTCTCATGTGTACTGGCCACTAGAGTAGAATCTTACTACGATTCAGTCTGCAAAAAAATCGTATGCAGTAAATTTCGGTATAGACACACTCAAAAATTCTTCGATTTATTGTTTATTTTCAGATATAGCCATCAAAAAATATGTGTACCTATCACGGCATTATCGAAGAATATCCATTAATATCAATCGATTCTTTTGAATCTCATAATTACACATGTACAACATTTTTTATCACACACATTCACTTGGATCATTTAGTTGGATTAGAACGACCAGAATTTGCACGATATCTTCAAAAAAACAATTTAGTTATTTATTGCTCTGAATTATCCAAAGAATTATTGATAACAATGTCACCATTTCAACATTTAGAAAAATTCTTCAAAGTTGTTCCAATCGATCAACCATTTGCTCTTACACTAAAAACCGAGCTACCTGCACAAGCAAAACAAAAGAAATCTGAATCCGGTTAGTTGAAAATTAACTAGTTTTTTGCAACCGAGCATATCTTTTATACTTAGAGATTTAGTGTGTAGCATTAGTCTGAAGGACAATATCTGTTAGACTATCGTCATCGCTAACTTCTCTCAGTCCAAAGTGCTATCGGATTGAACATATTTGAACAAAGTTGTGAACTGTTTCGATTAAATAAAACTTTATTTTGTTTAGATGATATTGAATACACAAATTCGTCAACATCGTTAACATCCTCATCGTCAGCGAGAATACTACCAAATACAAATGAAATTGGAGAAACAATATTTGTTACTTGTTTTGGTTCTGGTCATTGTCCGGGTACGAGAGCTCTATCTTTTTTTTGAAACATTTATTTGAATGTTCACTACTTTTTTACTTTGATACAGGTTCAGTGATGATATTTATTGAAGGCCCCAATGGTAACGTCTTATTCACGGGAGATTTTCGTTTATATATTGGTCAATCAAAACGTTTAGTTCAACTTCATCAACGACGATGTAGTGATGAAAAAGGAAACGATGATAATTATGTGTTGAAACCTATCGATAAATTATATATTGATATGACATTTTTTCGTCCCGACATATTGTATATACCGACACGTGAAATAGCCTGTGATGCTTTAATTCTGTTTATCAAATCAATTTTAGCTAATTCATCAACAATATCAAATATCTATTTTAAAACAAGGTAACAATATTCACTGCAATCAATATATATTTTTTCAGAGATGTTCTAATAGTCTTACGCTGCGTATTTAAATGTTACTGCGTAACTATACATACGGTGCGTAACGAAATTCTGAAGTAAAGCACTCATATCTAATCGATGTAATGTGCATAACGAGATACTTGACATTTTTTACCACGTCTATAAATAAAACTGTATTGGCAGATTTTAATGGTCAATAACTTAAGCTGGTTCGGTGTCGTGGTAGGTGACGACAACGGGGATATCAGATGACGCTAGACGTGAAGATTAGATATAAGTTGCTAGTATGAACGTGAGTTTACATTGATTGTAGCATCTTACGTCTAACTTCTACGCCTAACAAAACCGGATCCAACAAGGACAAGATGAGATAGTGAATCGCTGTTGCCAGCCTCTATCACGTAGAAGCTAGCAATTGAGAAATATCAGGTCACTCGCACGTTGTAAATTAGTTAGAAGTAATGAAATTTCTACGCAGCATAAGAGTATTAGAGCACATTTTTGTGAAAACTTCGTAGGATTTGTTCGTTTTGTGAAGGAAAAGGAAGTTTGAAGTATAAAGTTCATATAAGAGGATTTTTGTGGTTTGTAGAGGATTTTTTGTCAGTAGCTTTTTTAATATAATTCTCTGATTTTCTTTTGTTTTAGTGCTCGTACTGGCTATGAACAATGTTATCGTCAAATGTATGATGAATTAAAAATGAAAATTCATGTTGAACAAAGTCAATTTGATTTCTATGCTTGTCTACCATCTATTCAAGAATGTCTGACCACCGATCCATTTAATACTCGTTTACATGCCTGTCGTACTTCGGCATCAAATTTTGCACAACCATGTGCCTTTTTTAAAAATTGTGAAAAACCTATACGTGTTTTACTATCTATCATGTGGTTTGCTGAGCAAATTGCAGCCGATAAACTATTAGTAGAATATCATAAATATCATTCAAATTTTGAAAATAGTCAATCAAGTTCAAAAAAATATTTCCTTGGCTATGAAGATTACGGTGGTGAAGGTGTGGATGTTTCATATTCAGACAAATATTTAACATATCGTCTGTGCTATTCATTACATTCATCATTTTCCGAAATAATTGATGTTTTAAAAACATTACGTCCAAAAAGCGTTGTACCAATTGCTGCACCACCAGTATCACAATTGAGTACAAAAAAATTATTTCAAATTATCAACAGAATTATTGATCCAAATAAAATAAAGGCTACAATACAAAATCAACAACCATTAATTCATCGTAAACCAATTGTAGAAAAATTACAAATAAAACGCCGTTATCAATCATTTGATGAAGATATCAAAAAAAATATAGATGAAACAGATTGCTCTCTACAACTTGACACAGAAAGTGATCGTATTTTATTAAATCGAGTCAATTCACTTACTGAACGAAAAATAAAACAACCAAAATTTAATACAACATTGTTTCGATGTAAGTTTGTTCAAAAAGTAACAGCTAAAGAATAAAACCTTTTTTATGAAGTACACGTTTTGTAGGTGTAGAAAATGAAATTGATAAATCGTATTAATAATATCTTTTATTGTTATGTTTTAGCTATTTCAACAGAGATTCCTAAACAACAATTTTTTCCAATAAAAAGTGTTCTGGATGAAAAAGTAGATTTGAATGTTAATCAATCTACTTCTGTTGCTGCGTGTTTTTCATTAGTAAAAGAAGAACCACAATTTTTACCCACGACTGAGATAGAAACTGTTGAGAAGGATGAAAAAAATATTGTAATTACAACACCATTAACAATGTTAAACCATCCTGTTGAATCAATGACAACTAGTATATATTGTGATGAGGAGGGTGCTCCAAAAGTATTAATTGAAAAGGATGAATTTGTACTACCATTAATTTCGACACGAAAACGCACTACGTCAAATGCATCATCGTCAGATACCGTCGATTATGAATTTGATAATGAAATTTGTGATAGTAGAGCATTATTAATTGAAGATAGTATTCAAGAATAAATATCCATTTTTTTTATGGTGCAGTTATAAGTTTTTTCTCATTGACCATTTTGTCTAGTACCAGTGCTATAATGTCATATATTTACATGTACAAATTACTTTTGTAATTTGTTTTTTTTTTTTTTTGTTTAAACTAAACTCACTTGTTATTATTGTTATTAGATTTGTTTTGAATCAGCGCATGTTTCTTATTCGTAGAAATCTGTATGTATTTGTGTATCTCTCTCTTTTAATAATTTTTTTTGTATAACTTTGTAGTTGTAAACATTTTAGCAATTGTGTCATTTGACTAACTCAGGACATTTTGATTTTTTTTGCTATTACTTTTGTTTAGTAGTAGTTCTCTCATTATTAGTTAATAGATGATAAAGAGAAAATCGCACACTTGATCTATTTCACTGTATTATTTTCTTTGATAAAAATATAGGTCTAAATATCTGACTTTTTCGAAAAACTACTGGTAGATTAGTTTAGTAATTCATAGATTCATGGTAGAAAATTGACGATGTATATCTTAGCAATCTCCCAAATAACGATAATTCATTTATTTATAGTAATTATTTATTATAGATCTATCTGAAAAGGTAGAAATCATTACTCTTTCTACTAGAGTTTTGCTGATCGATAGTTGATGATCGAATGATATTTATCATTTCCTTGCTGAAATAAATAATCAAAGCTTAGTGTTGAGATTAAAATTGTTTAAAATGGTGTTTTTTTTACACGATTTTACCGTTTCTCTAATTCTGTGACTTTTACAATTATTTTCTTTTAATTTATCTATTGTAATTAATTTTATTTTCAGATAATTGAATTTTCATTTTTTCATTACAATAAACTTAGAAGAAGATTTGTTCTACAAAAGTGAGTGAATAATTTGAATTTTGAATTTTTTATTCGAAACAATCTTTTCATATTTTTTAGATGGGTTCACTTGCTCTCACCGTTTTATCGTTAACATTGGGTTTATTTTTTATTCTGGTTGGACAATTTAAAGTGACACCAAAATTCTTTCCAGAAGTACACGAAGATATGGTAGGAATAGAATGATTTTTGTACAATTTTCTCTCTAGTACTTTAATTGAAAATACTTTTATCTTTTATTCAGTAGAATTTTTTATTTCTTTTGAAACCAATTTCTCTAACTAAATGATGTGATTTATTTTCTCTTGTTTTTGTTTTTTGCTAGCGTCGTGAATTTGGACGAGTTAATAAAGTATTTCCATTATATAAGCAAACAGGTTGGCGACCATTTGCAAAAAATTATCGACTTTTCATTGGATTCACAGAAATTGTATGTGGAGCTATCTTGGCACTTGTTCCAGGTATATTTTTTGTTTAGTTTTGAATTATCATAATTTATAAATGGCAATATTGAGTCTTCGATCATTTTTTACCATCTGTTGTCTGATTAATAATTGTGTATTATTTAACATTTAACGTTGTTAGGTTCACCAAAACAGTTGGCAAATGTTATTTTATTATTCGTGATGCTTGGTGCTGTTTATACGCATTATATTTTAAAAGATAAATTTGAACGAATGGCACCTGGTCTCGTTTTTAGCCTTTTGCTTTTAACACGTTTGATAATTCATAGACAAGTACAACAACGAGAAAAACGTACGAATCAAAAACAACCAACAGTAACGAAAAAAGAATCAAAAAATAAAAATAAAGTAAGCTCCTAGTATAATACTTGTCAATAACAGAAATGGATCAGATCAATGTTCAGATCGGATTCGGGTCAAATAAAAATATATTATGAGTCATGTTCGGATCACTGGAAAAAAATTTCGATTTTTCATGCAATTTTCTGTGAAAACTCTAAAGTTACAACCTTATTTTTGGGCGCAAAAGAATCTTTTTTGGGATTCATTCGGATCAAGGAAAAAAATTCGAATCGGGTTCAGATCATACTCATTTGATGTGATTCAGTCTCTGATACTTATCATTAAGAAAAGAATAAAAAACTTCTTAATTTTTAGAATGAAAAGGAAAATGATAGTCAAGTTGAAGAGGAATATGAAGAGGAAGATCGTGACGAAGAACAAGAGGAACAAACATCGGAAGGAGAACAAGAAGAAGAAGAAGAAGAAGAAGAAGAAGAAGAAGAAAAAGAAGAAGTTAAAGTAACTCAAAAAAAGCCAACAAAAAAGGTACAACCAGTAACAAAGGATAGTAAAAAGAAAAACAAATAAAAGAAATTTTTCCATAATTCAATTATAAGATGTATTACTTGATTTGTCATGTTTTATTCTTGAAATAATTATCCATTTGTTAGATATCTCATGATATAAAAACTTTTTCTGTACTTCGTCTTTTCCCCTGAGTGTGTAGATCAAATCTCAATGTTGTGTTAACGTTGTGTGTGTGTATTTCGTGCGGCTATAGGCTCTTTTTATTATTGTTGTTTTCTACTATTCTTTTTCATTTTTTATTACTATTCATTTTTAAAAAATAAAATAACAATAAAACTTGTTTGAGAAATTTCCACTATAGTCATAGAAATCATCATATAATATAAATAGAATGTTTATACTATGTTTTATGTACAAAATGTTAGTTATACTCTGAACTAATCTTATTGCTTTCATTTATCCTCAGGTTTTCATTCATATAAAAAAAAAAAATGAGTGAATGAAAGATGAAATATTTGTTATTTGAGTATTAGAAATAATCTTTAAACTAATAAAACAATTATATAAAATGTGTTTTTAAATATCATGATTCAATCAGATTTTTAAATTTACGATTGACAATCGAGAACTCAATGATATTTAATTCATTTAAATATGTATCATTTTTAATTTAATGAATAATGATTTTTATATAATTGTTTACAATTTAATTTTGTTTGATTTTCTTCTAAATATTGTATTATGAGAACAATCATTTCTCTTAGAATCATGACGTGGATATGTATGATAACAAATATTTATCTCAATTCTATGTATGCATTCTGATTCGTTTTTTTTTCTTCAAAAAATTTGCAATCAATTGTGCACAAATATTCGCAGATATTTGTAACATTGTATCCGAGAAAAACTGGCGTTCTCTGTATTTTTTCAAGTTTTTCTCCTTTAGACTCGTTCAGTTCATTTTTTGTGTGCAAAAAACTTCGCCATTCAATTCTCTATAAAAAAATCTGTTTTAAGAAAAGAGTTTGAACAAAAAATGTTTAAAGATAAAAAATTATAAAAAACGTTTTGTAGAATACCAGTAAGGCAAACTTCTTAAATTTAAAACCAATTGCTTGAA